ATTGATTCTATGATTTCTTTTTTAAACTTAAATTGTTTGTTTTATGCATTAATTTCAGAGTACACTGAGACATTAAACTGTAGTGGCGATTGCTCTTCATCCCTGCAGCACCACAGTGCGGCCCAATCCCAAACCGCCCCCTACACAATCCCCCTCTGTTTGCGCGTCCCCGCGGAGGCTCTGCCATATTGAAGGCCATCCCAAACCACACAGTGCGGAGGGTGAATGGACTGTTCAGCCCTCAAATAGTGAGCCTGCACTGGTGCAGACTTACGGCAGGATTTACAGGATGTGCGCTGGCAAAAATGGAGAAGGAGGAAACAACATACAAATATAAGTTCCGTATGTGCCCACCGTTGTCTTCCTGACAAAATTTTTTCCAAAAGGCGTGGTTTGGAAAGATCAACTGGAACTCGGAAATCTTACTCTGTGCTGAGGTTTGATTTGATTGTGCAGGCACGTCAAACAGTAAAGGGGTTCAAAGACGTGTGGAATCACTAACAATCAGGAGTTTAATTTAGCTCCTGTCACTGTACTGGTTGCTGGATTTATTTTTTTACTGCGAGGATGAAGAAACGAGGCAGCCGGTGTAGCTCAGACCTGTACATGATGTCCGTTGAGTAAGAAAATAAACACTGCCATGCACAGGATGCGTCTTTGTGTTGCTATGGTGATGAATCTTTCTGTTTTCCAGTGGCGTCCCATACTTGCCCGTCTTGTTTATACCCTCCCATTTCAACTGAGGCGCACTTAACAGCTGCGAGTGTTACTTCATTACGAGTGTTACATTACAGTCATTACAGTATAAAGACCGAGTGTGTGGGGGCGGTTTTGGATTGGGCCTTCTTCACACAGTTGGACGCTGAGCGTCTACTGACTTCAGTGGGGAAGTGTAGAGTGGGTCGTTTTACTAGGAGAAACTGGACGGTCATTGGATAAATGCTGGGCTTTGTCCTGCCCACGGACGCTCAGGGTCTCTGGGGGTCTATGGGGCAGTGGGCTGGCCCAGATGCGCGGCTTCTGCATGATGATTAAATGATCTGTCTGAGGCGGAATCCCTTTTTGACTGACGGCGAAATGAGCAAATCAAGTGATCTTTAAGTATAAACATCCACCAGAGTATTTTCCAAGATTTTTATTCCGTTGTTTTTAACTGATCAGGGGCCTCATTTATAAAGCTTGCTTACGCACAAAACCTGGCTAGAAATTGCGTACGCCACTTCTTACGCAAGAGTTGGGATTTATAAAAGAAAAACTAGTGTAGGAATGTGCGCAACTTTAAGCAAACTCCACACCTTGCTTACGCACTTTTTGGAGACAATCGGAGCAAGGTGAGAATAGTCCGGGTGATGCGTTCAGCATTAACGGATGACTCGATGCAGCCTTTCTGTCCTGAGAGCTGCAGCTGCCGTACCAGGCAGTGATGCTCGCAGAAAGCACAGACCCCACTGTGGCGGTGTAGATAGTTTGCCAATTTGAATTTACAAATGTGCAAAAAAACAAATTCCATTTACATGCATTTGTTTTAAGATTAAAATGACTAAATCTTTTTGGTTTACGAACTTTCACCACATAAGCAGCGGTGGATAACGGAGCGTTTTTTTTTTTTTTAACACATGCACGAGTGTCACACGTGCTTGTATTTTCTGATCCTCACCTGTCGCCGCCACGCTCTGATGGTGCAAAGCCACTTTTTTCTTTGCCTCAACCTTTAGATCAGACCACTTCTTCTTGATTTCGGCACAGTTTTTTTTTTCGTCATTGTCGACGAAAACAAAACTCCACGTGTTTGCGCGCGCGTGCGTGTGTGTCTGCGTGTTGGAGGAGCACAGCAGGCTGATGACAGCTGTCAGAGCGGACAGAATCTGCTCCTATATGTTTAGCGTTTAACTGACTGAGTTTTGCAACTCTGATCGTCATTTTCGTCTCGTCCCATCAACGTAAACGCACTTTCGTCTCGTCACATTTTAGTCATCTCCGACTTATGTTTAGCTCGTCAACGTTACGTCGCCGTCGTGGAAGAAAAGGGAAATATTTCCGTCAACAAAAACAACCAGTGTTGTTCTCGTTGATGAAAATATTTCCTTTTGACGCTGGTGTTGACGAAAATATTTGACGAAAACAACACTGTTTCGGCAACGCTGCGCTCAGTGCCAGCCGCAATTGCCACCACGGCAACGGCGTTTTTATTGGTGATGCCACTCGAATGGCCGCCGAATAAGGTCTCCCGTCTCGCCGCCACCTCATTTACTAGAACCTCCACCTCGATCTCTGAAAAGTTTCTTTTTCTACGACTTGCTGATGCCATGGTTAAGCGTGAAATGCCGTGGATCCACCAGGCTTATTTACATGCAAATCACATTCATGAGGTAATTTGCATGACCATACATGGTGAATTTTGGGTGTGGAGAGGGCGGGGAAGAATCAAATCCCTGCTGCGCAACTTTCCAGCTGGTCTGTGATTTATAAAGGGAAAGTGCGTGCAGGTGTGCGTAGGCAGGGTTTTATAAATCAGATTTTTTTTTTGCCTACGCACTTTTCAGCTTTTCAACTTACGTACACTTTTAGTATGGATCCTACGCCAGGTTTTATAAATGAGGCCCCTGGAGACTTTACTGATACCCAGCGCCTTTGTCTCTGTTAAAAATGACTCGTGTTGTGTTTGGTGACTCTCTTCTGTCACAACAGGGTCACAGATCATTTTCTTGAGAAGGAACGTAGGGTAGAATTTACATATAAATAAACAAACACATTTATGATGTTGGCCATGAAAAAAAAGGGGCTTCCCCTTCTTGCAAGACCAGCAGCCACCACTGTTAAACTGCATCATTTTCAATAAAATTCTGGAAAAATTGGGGTGTTTGCGTATTCTTAAAATTAACTAAGAGTTTTGAAAAAAAATATATATATATATATTACATTTGCTCCCTGTCTCCCCTATTACTTCCCAGAAAGAGAACTTGAAGACACTTGGCCAGTGGGTCATAGTAGAAGTGCTGGTGGAACAGCTGTATGAGGAAAACAAGGAGTTATAGAAGTGAGAGCTAAGAGAGTAAAGGACCTTTATTGACAGGTAGGATATACAGTAGACGAGCCCTGAGGCCTGAAACCATTGTAGTTCCCGTTTACAAACTTTAACTTCACCTTGACTCACTGGAAGACACAATAACTCGGACTGCTGTGAAATTTCATCATGTAAGAAGAAAGCTTAGGTAGAAAAATTACATCAGCCTCCCGAAAGAGCGCCCTAACAGCCTTGAATAAGAACCATAGATGAAAGGAAAAAACAACTTTGTAGATAGGCCCAGTTAAACCTGACCTGTTTTTTAGACCAGGGTTATTCAACACAAGGTATTAACAGTTTCTGTTCTTAGAGGTTTACAGCAGTAGATCAACTAAGGAAAAGAATGTTTCCAGCCATAAAAACATTTATTTAAACCACAGGCTAAAGGCACACAAACTTTGGTCCTAAAAGGCCTCCTCACAATGTCAGAGACCAAGACCAGAACCACATGTTGGGACCCTGTCTAAATTGATTTCGTTAGCATGCAGCCTGCCTATCTATGTACGTTTGTATGTGTATGTGTGAGCTATTAGATAACGATGACTGAGATGGGATTCAAGTGATCCAAACATACTTGGCAAGTATAAGGAGCCTCAAACTGATCATTTCTCTTCAAACATCACTATCAGAGGTATCCCAAACTGAATGATTCATATAAAAATTATTTCGACATTCTTTTTTTTTGTGAAAGTAATACAACTTATTCCAGTTGAGAAAAGCTGAACTGATACTGTCACAGCAAATCTGTTAAAGCCTCTACTCTTTAATAATCATTGCTAACATGCCTTTACAGCAGCACTGTGTGCTGATAATGAAAGAAAGCCAATTTACACAATAGATGAATAGAACAGTGTGAAACAATTTTAACTATTGCTAACTACAGCAACTACTCTCATGGGTTTGTATCTTGGTATCTTGGAGAAATGTTCAAATGACTAGGGTGGCATTTAGACGAGTGAACCAGCACATTAATGAGTGTGTGTGTGTGTTATTATTGGTGGGCTCTGCTGCAACTTCAACACCACCTACAGTGGTGTCACGTTATGCTAAAGTCCTCTTCAAAGCCCCTGCAGACGTTACACCCCTGGGGATTGTAGCATCATCATTGCCCAAGTTGTGTCCTAAGTTAAAGTATAAACCTACACTAAACCATAAGTGGCTTAACTCTGTTTAGCTTAACCATATAGCCTTAAGATTCATATTAACTAGTAGACTGTAATGTCCAAACTAACCAAAAGACTGTTACAGATTTGATGTTCATATTTCCAGTAGCTCATCAGAGAAACCAACTCCTTGTAAACTGGCTGAAATGACAGCCATTAACTCCTGATACTTGACCAACAGCAGCAGAGAGGTATGTGAAATATGACAGAGTATTGTCACAACAGTGACACTGCTGTGATTCAGCAGCTCTCTGTGCATATCTCTGCTTGTGGGAAATAACAGCTAGAGTACAGATCTATGTGAATATGTTTTAACTGATGTAATTTATTATGGAGACCATTTGATTTATACACAAAGTAGCTTGTAAATCCCTCTACTCCTTGTCACTTCTGTCTTGAAGTAAGACTTAAATTTTAACTTCTTGTGCAGATGAACATGGGGACTATCTTCAGTTGATGATAATAATTTTCTCATCAAGATGCCTTTTTGGTAAATCTGGGATTTCTGTCCACTACCTTAAGCTCCATACTCACACGTACGCTGTTTCTACTGTTGAGTGTATCTATCTGGTTGAATTGAATTCTAAATATTACTGATATCCTGATTTTGAGCTTTAGAGGCTGAAGGGCATTTCACTGATCAATATTGCTCTAGTTTTTTCTAAGGTTTAAGGGTGGTACACAGACAATTCACAGAAAATGATAAAAATACATGTGGAAGGAACTTGGTGGCTCATCAAAGATATTGATGTGGAGGAGTCAGGACCTGTGGGTTAAATAGTCGACTTTGAAAAGGAAACTTTCAGGTGGTGATTTCCTCCCATGTCATAGTTGTGAAGATCCATTAGAACCTGTATCGCCTCCTCCACTGAAGACATCTGGATCAAAGACATCTTACGGTCCCTGATCAAGACAGAAAAAGGATTTGTAATTAAGTATCACAGACCTAGAAATTTTAAAGTTCTTGTTTGACTGCAGAGTATCATTTCATTCTAATGCACATCAGCCAAGAGCATAAAATATGTTTTGGGCCCTGGACTCTGGATTTAAACAGAGAAGGGATAAACCGCCAGCTGTTTGCACTTCAACTAATGGTGACAAAAGGAAAGGAATTCAAACTGATTAACAGGTGTTGTAAGGTTTTTTCAAATAAGAGATTACAATGAAAAAAATGAGAGCAATGCAGTGATAGATGTTTCCGCTAAAATGCAGAACAGGACAGCAAGAAAAACATCTCCAGGCTACACCAGGGTTTCAATAAGCAGAGGGGAGTTAATACTAGCCCATTAAAATAAAACAGGGAAAGAACTAAACACATTTGACATTCAGTTGTCCAGTTCGGTTGCCCACCCTGTGGTGTGGGCTAGTTGATGGGAACACCCCATGTCAATCCCACATCCCTTACACATAACTCCAAGACCCTGTGGGAGAAAGTCTATTTATCAAAATGTGGGACTATTTTGCATCAGGTTCGTTTTTCCTTCTTCAACTTGTTTCCTTTCTGCAGAAGTGAGGAGGGCGTCAAAGTAGGTAAGTGAAAAGTTCCAAAAATAAAAGTAATAATAAAAATGATGGGATTATAAAAAGGAGGGAAAGAAGGAACATATAGAGATATTAGTTGTTGTCTAGTATTTGGATATTGTTGAGTTGTAGGATGATTTCCTGTTTTTTTCCTGTTATAGTCTTACTAGTGCTAATATTAATAATAATAAGAAGAGGAATGGTACTTACAACAATACTACAAATAATGATAATGACAACAACACCAAAAGTAATCACCATCATAGTAACAATAACGATGACCATAACAACAATATTAAATGTCCCGTATGGAACTTTTAACTAGATCTGAAAAAATCTTGTTTCTGCTGATGTCTCCTTGTCACCTGCAACAGGGAATGAAGATAAGCTATTTCTAAATAGTGAAAATGGGAACGGGAGCCAGTGGTCGGGTCGGAACCACAAATGGAACGATTTACAGCACAGAGACGACAGGCAAGTTTTTTCTCTTTATTTTGCACTGAAAACACACGTCACTGCACAAACAGTGATGTCTTGCAGCCGGAAACTCCTGCAGACACTGTGTCATACTACAGCTGCAGCCATGGAGTAAGAAGCTCCTCTAAACCAGAGACAGACAGGCAGAGCAGCTCTGTGTCACTAACCTCAGTAGTCCTGCTGCTCCAGGTCTGTCTCACATGTCGCGGCAGGCTGACCCAGACTCACCTCCCATTTTTAATACATTTACAAAGTAAGTTGCCTCAAACTGCTCACAAAAAAGTTAGTTTCTGGAGCCCTGATGTGCAAGCCAGATAAGAGGCTTTACGACAATACGTGCTAAAACACTACGGCTTTTGCTGCCAAAATCTCTGTTCAGCTGCTTTAAATGAAAAATGAATAATAACAAAATAAAAATAATTTATAATGGAAAGGGCTAACCTAATTGAAGAGTCAGATAACTGAGAAGTATAGGAGTTAATATCTGTTATCTGTATACATGGGTGTATAGGGAATTTTATGTATGGAGAGAGATAAGATTCCCGGGCAAAAATTCTATTGTCCTAACTGTTTTATTAAGTAGAAATGCTGATAAAGCATTTCCACTTATTGTTATTCTCCTATTTCTTTATCATTAGGTGGAAATGCTGATTAAGCATTTCCACTACTGTTATTCCTCCAACCATTTTCACAATTATTTAACTTCTATTTTTTCTTTACCCCTTCAACAGCTTTTACATTTATACCTTTCTCCATTTTTAATTAACATTAGCATTGCTTTTTAAGCTTTCAGCGCTCAGCATTTACACGCATTTTCTGCAAGGAAATGCAATTTTTCTAGTTATTAAGTGGAAATGCTGATTAAGCATTTCCACTCATTGTTCTTCCCGTTGGCCATTTTTCTTTATTGAGTGGAAATGCTGATTTAGCATTTCCAACTATTGTTATTCTCCTGTTTCTTTATTCTTATTATTCCTCCGCCGATTTTTGCCACGCTTCTTCCTCAAACTTTGTGCGATTTCAACCGTTCAAACTTGAAACTATTCCACTCCTTCAGGAAATGTCTGCTTCTATTTTTTACCTCTCTAACCTTTATACTTTTTGTGCAAAAATTTTAACATTGAAGTCAATGGGGAAATCTTCCAGTTCTTCCTTTTATTCTTCCACCTTCAAAGCCTTATAACTTCAGCATACTTTCACCTAGAGACCTCATTTTTTCCACAATCTAGCTTTAAGCAACTCATGGTTTTCAGCAAATTTTCACACTTTTGTGTGCTATCTCCTACAGTTTTCCCACAATTTAGCTTTAAGCACCTCATGGTTTTCAGCAAATTTCAGGCTTTATACTGGGTGTGTATTGGAGAGGCTAGAGTGTTTGATTACACCGCTAGAGTGCAGACCTCCTCTTGGATCGACAGAACCTTGCTCGAATATATCGCTCCCACACCCACAAATTTGACTCCACAGCCATAAAAAATACATCAAAATGTGTCCTGCTTCTCACAAAAGAGGTTTCAAATCATTAATACATACCCCTTGGCCAGCAGGTGACCAACTGTCCAAATAAGGCAAAGAACCCTGGCATTGGCCCTAATGTAATTTTTCTCCAAGAAAATCCGGATCATCACTCAGGCTCAGACTTTTTTAACTCGCTGTTGTGGCCACATTTTTTAGAGTACAGACATGAAAAACACATCATTGTGTTCATGAAGGGCGGAGGATTCATACGATGTTCTTATTTTCATTCTGGGATTTAAGGAAATCATGCTATGTGAAGAAGTTCAGAGGCCCTAAATTCACTGCAGTTAGGCAGCTTCTCATTCAAACAGTAGGTCAGTTAATGCCTTTGATCTCACAGCTGTTTAGGATGCAATCATTAACGAGACACACACACACACACACACACACACACACACACACACACACACACACACACACACACACACAGTCTGATAATGTGTGTGCGTGTGTGTCTCTGTCTAAAAGATCTGCATGTACACACAGTTAATATGTGTCTGCTTCTGACTGGAAAGCTGCTTCTAACTAGCCTGGCTGGGCCATCCAGTTGCGTGAATCACTTGCCATTCCTTCCCACAACAGTCTGGACTTAGGCCACTTGGGAGCGTGTATTACAAATCAGAAAATAACCGGGCCAAGCAGTGACTGTGTTTCCACTGTTCCCTGGACAACAGGGAAAGGCAGCCCCTGATTGGTCCATATGTAGATGGAGACGTCTAACACATGCTGCGGGACTTTTGAAAGCGCCGTTCATGCAGAACGCCGTTAATTCTGCAGTTGACTTTGCAAAGTTGGCAGAAATCGTTTATATCTGCAGAAAAAGAGATGAAAGACATTGTTTGCTCATACACGTTGAAATATTACCAAACCTTTACATGATGCTTGAGAGCCCAGCAGGGAACACAGTTGCGCACTGTGATGACGTCAGATGTTTGGTTACGGTGATTGGTTACAGTAGTCTGTCTATCAAGGAAAGTACTCCCGCCCACTTTTAGGGCTCCCAATTGGCTGAAGTCCAGACTGTTGTGGGAAGGAACGGCAAGTGATTCACGCAACTGGATGGCCCATCCAGGCTAGTTTCTAACAGCCATATGACACACATGTAGCCGGGCTCAGTACACAGAGCACTGGGGGTTACATTTAAAACCCTTCACCAGAGCACTTGACAAACTTTGGCCTCTATCTCCTGCCACAAACTTTGACCTACAGAAACCATTCAGGGCTCCAAAAATGTATTCAGGATTTTTATTCATTTAAGTTTTCCCCACTTTAAATGTAATCCTGTTATTAATACATTCCTAAATTCTTCAGACAAACTGAAACTGATTCAAACTGATTCAAACCTTTCGAATACTTCAACCTTGTCTAATACTTGAGGATTTTTAATTATTCAATTTTTTTTCCATTTTAAAATCACTTATTATTTATGCATTATTTAATTCTTCAGACAGATTCCCAGATTTACTACTACAACTACTATAATTACCACTACAACTTTCCAACTTTCCAACTATCTTCACTTCTACCTCCACTACTCTGGCTTCTCTAAATATTTTTTTACTGAGTCTCTTACTTTTACTGCCACTATTACTTCTACCACAAGCTCTACTGCTTTGACTTCTACTTCTTATATTCTAAAACTACTTCTACTGCTTACATGACTACTCATATCACTACTACAACGTCCTATTATCATACTACTTCTAGTCCTAAAACTTTAACTTTTCTGTGTTTTAAGGTCATTTTCTTCCTTATCCAAGTTTTTTGCAATTTCAGACAGTTTTCTCGCCTCTTTCAGCATGAATACAATTTTAATTTATGAAGCACATTCATACAGTTTGGACTTCAACAGTTTTCACTTTCATCCAACTTCCACTTCTTCTTTACCCCTTTAACCAATTTTACATTAAAACCTTCTATTTTTTATTGGCAGTTTTGCATTGCTTTTTCAGGTTTCAGCACTCAGCATTTCCACGCATTTTCTGCAAGGAAATGCAATTTTTCTAGTTATTATTATTCTTCCATCCCTTTTTGCCGCGCTTCTACTCCTTCAAACTTTGTGCTTTTCAACCATCAAACTTTTAAACCATTTCTCTCCTTCAGGACATGTGCGGATGTATTTTTCCTTTTTCTACCCCCTTATTCTTTTTGTTTTTTTTTTAACTTTTTGTGCAAAAAATTTAACATTGAAGTCAATGGGGAAATCTTCCAATTTTTCCTTTTATTCTTCCACCTTCTAAGCCTATAACTTCAGCATACTTTCACCTAGAGACCTCATTCTTGCTTTAAAATGTTCATTGTCTTGTCGACTATTAAAGTTGCAATCAGTTTTTTGATATCTTTTACAGTTTTCCCACAATCTAGCTTTAAGCAACTCATGGTTTTCAGCAAATTTTCAGGCTTTATACTGGGTGTGTATTGGAAGCGCTAGAGTGGGGTGATGTCATAGCTGGGGGGAGAGCACTTTTTGGATCAACAAAACCTCGCTCAAATATATCGCTCCCTCATCCACAAATTTGACTCCGCAGCCATAAAAAATCCATCAAAACGGAGGAAAATAAGTCCTGCTTCTCACAAAAGAGGTTTCAAATCATTAAATCATACCCCTTGGCCAGCAGGTGACCAACTGTCCAAAAATGGCAGACATGCCTCTTATTGACCATAATGTAATCTTTCTCCCAGAAAATCTTAATCACTCAAGCTTAACACCTGTTTAACTCGCTGTTGTGGCCACATTTTTTAGAGTACAGACATGAAAAACACATCATTGTGTTCATGAGGGGCAGAGGATTCATAAGATGTTCTTATTTTCATTCTGGGATTTAAGGAAATCACGCTATGTGAAGAAGTTAGGGGCTCTAAATTCACTGCAGTTACGCAGTCTCTCATTCAAACGGATGGTCAGTTAGTGCCTTTGATGTCTGACACCTGTTAAGACTGCATTAATTAACAGACACACACACACACTCTGACAATGTGTGTGCATTAGTCTCTCTCTGTCTATGAGACCTACAGGTACACACAGTAATTACGTGTCTGCTTCACTTTGAGCTACAGAAACCATTCTGGGCTTGAAAATTTCAGCTTATCGAGGACACTTTGGGGTGTTTTAAGGATTGTGATAATAAATTGTATTAATGTGTTCAGCAAAGTCTTGTGGTTCTCACAAGCTCCTTATCATGAATATATACGTAGGTTGACCATAGTTGGAGAGCTATTTTCTCAGCTTCAAGCCCTCTTTCTCCTGCTGTAGTGATGCATCTACGGTCCCCATGGCAACCAATTAGTGCACCTGGAGACACACAGCTGACTGGAAAGCTGCTTCTAACGGCCATATGAGACACATGAAGCCAGGCTAAGCACACAGAGCACTGGGGGTTACGTTTAAATCCCTTCACTAGAGCGCTTGACAAACTTCGGCCCCTATCTCCTCTCATAAACTTTGACCTACAGAAACCATTCAGGGCTCCAAAAATTCAGCTCATTGAGGACATTATGGGGTGTACTCAGGATTTTTATTCATTTAAATTTTTCCCACTTTAAAATTAATTTAGAATTATTCAATTCTTCAGACAAATTTAAACTCATTCAAACTCATTCAAACCTAATAATTCAAACTTGTCTAATACTTGAGGATTTTTAATTATTCAAATTTTTCCCATTTTAAAATCATTCTCATTATTTTTCAATTTTTTAATTCTTCAAACAGATTCCCAGTTTTACTACTATAATTACTACTGTCACTTTAACCTGTATCCTCACTTCTACCTCCACTACTCTTGCTTCTCTAAATATTTTTTTACTGCGTCTCTAACTTTTACTGCCACTATTACTTCTACCACAAGCTTTACTGCTTTGACTTCTACTTCTTCTATTCTAAAACTACTTCTACTGCTTACATGACTACTAATATCACTACTACAACTACCTATTATCATACTACTTCTAGTACTACAACTTAAACTTACACAACTTCTCACTTTTCTGTGTTTTAAGGTCATTTTCTTCCTTATCCAATTTTTTTTTGCAATTTCAGACCGTTTTTCTAGCCTTATTCAGCATTAATGCAATTTTAATGTATGAAGCACATTCATACTATTTGTACTTCAACAGTTTTCACTTTCATCTAACTTCTACCTCTTCTTCTTCAGCCCTTTAACCAATTTTCCATTTAAACCTTCCTCCATTTTTAATAAGCAGTTTTGCATTGCTTTTTCAGCTATCAGCACTCAGCATTTCCACACATTTTCTGCAAGGAAATGCAATTTTTCTAGTTATTAGTTTTTTTTTTTTTTTTTATTTTTTTTTTTTTTTTTTATTCCTTTATTGATCCCCCATGGGGGAAATTTTTTTGTCACAGCAGCATCACAGACAAGCCAAAAAGTGCAAAAATGCAGTTATAACAATAAGGGTCCTAATATTAAGAACTTAAATAAATGTAATAATTAAGAAAAAAATTAGAAAAGGGAGAAGAAAAAATAAAGCTTTCTACAATATACACAATTTAAATGCCATAAAAAAAGTGGTGGTGTAAAATCAGTTTTGTTACTGTTCATTGTAAAGTCTTATTGCAGAGGGGAGAAATGATCTGCGGTAGCACTCCGTCCTGCAGGGTGGGAGTCTCAGTCTGCTGCTGAAGGAGCTGCCTAAAGCCCCCACAGTCTGGTGCAGTGGGTGAGAGGGATTGGGTGGGTGTAGTTGTAGTATTAATGATAATAATATTAATAATAATAATAATAATAATAATAATAATAATAATAATAATAATAATAATTATTATTATTATTATTATTATTATTATTATTATTATTATTATAAAAACTAGAAAATATCCTATGAGAAATATTGAAAGGGCAATCCTGTGGGGGTGTGGGGTATGACCAGTGCCAGAGCTTGGTCCCCATAGCCGGTAGTAAGTCGGATTTGTTTCCAGTGAGGGTTGGACTCCTCCAGGGCTGCCTTTTGTCACCAATTCTGTTAATAACTTTTAAGGACAGAATTTCTAGGTGCAGCCAGGGTGTTGAGAGGGTCGGGTTCAGTGGCCTCAGGATTTGGTCACTGCTTTTTGCCGATGACGTGGTCCTGTTGGCTTCATTGGGCTGTGACCTTCAGCTCTTTCTGGATCAGTCCGCAGTCGAGTGTGACGTGGCTGGAATGAGAATAAGCACCTCCAAATCTAAGTCCATGGTTCTCAGCCCGAAAAGGTGGAGTGCCATCTCAGGGTCGGAGATGAGATCCTGCCCCAAGTGGAGGAGTTCAAGTATCTCAGGGTCTTGTTCCTGAGTGAGGGAAGAATGAAGCAAGAAATCGACAGGCTGATCGGTGCTGCATCAAGCTGCACAGATCTGTCATGGTGAAGAGGGAGCTGAGCGGAAAGGCAAAGCTCTCTCCTACCCTCAGCTATGGTTACAAGCTATGGGTAGTGACTGAGAAAACAAGGCCGTGAGTACAAGTAGCCGAAATGAGTTCCAGTTTGAGTGAGGACAGTCTTTGGCTATACGAAGCCATTTTGTTGTGGATGGTACAATATTTCTTTTGTATTTAGAAATAAGTGTGAATACAGAGCACTTGTTTTTTTTTTTTTTGTTTTTTTTTTTGATGTTCTGGAAAAAAAAATCAATAAAATTTACTGTTAAAAAAATCATCCATCTTAGTGTCTATGTGTCAAGTTGTTTTAAACATATACTGAGTATACTATATGCAGTCTGTGGTTGTAAATCACACACCGGCCGCTTCATGCTCATCTGTGACTGCAGTGCACTACAAGAAGTACCAGGAGCACAATTGCTTGCTGTTTAAATCTCAAAAGGAAACAGAGAAGAAAAACACACAAATTATGGTGGAACAACAACAAAGAAAAAGATGCTCAGAAACTCCTAACGAAAGTTTCTAAAGTTTGCGAACATTTTACATAAAACACACCAGTGAAACATGAAAAAATGCAAGCTGTGTAAGGCAGTACTTCTGTGATGCATGAGCATCTTAAACGCCGACACCCCGGAGCCGGTGTATCATCACATACCGCAGAGAGTTAAGTTCACAAATAACATTGATACTTGATGGATATTTTTTGAGTCACATGCTCATTTGTTAATTTACCATCAGCCTATGATGCAAGTACATAATACATTTGTATTACCCGTCTATCAGTCAGAAACTTATGGAAGAAGCTTGCTTGCTACGTTAATGCTTATGTCACAGCTGTCGTCACTGAATCACAGGCAAAGTTGCTTTGACATACCTTATTTCAGCCCCTGTCGACACTAGCGTTTATAATGAATTGTAAACTTCTTTCACTTGTCAAGTGTGTGATTTGGAGCATATGATTCAATATTTGAGCAGTAAGAAATCTGATAATTTTTCTAGGTATTTAACTGTGATAAATATTGTATTAAATCTTTAAATTGGGAAATAATATATACCCTTTTTGTTTTGTTCTCTTTGTTTTAGTGTTAAGCAAAGGCATGTAGATGAGTTCGTTGTGGAGAGAGGTTCATGTACCCCCCAAATGGCTGAAGTCCTCGCACAGAGCATCCTCAACATGATAGTAACGGACATGAGGCCAATATCCATGGTTAAAGATGACGGCTTCAAGCAGATGATCCAAACCTTTTAGGCTACACCTTGCTATCCAGAACCCATTTTACAAAATTCATTTAAGAAAAATACAAGACTGCAGTCAGAGACATTAAAGATGCTCTTCAATTAAATAAGAACAAGATTGCCCTGACAGCTGATGGCTGTACTAGCATTTCCACAGAGGCGTATCTTGGCATCACCTGTCACTTCACAAGTGATGAGTGGGCGCTTACAAGCCTCTGTCTTACAACCATGCCACTAGAAGAACGATACACTGGACCAAACATTGCTGCATGGATTGAGTAGGCCATGGCAAAGTTTAAGATTTCTGCAAGCAAGATTGTGGCTGTTGTCCATGATAATGGCTCCAACATTGTTCTGGCTGCAAACATCCTGCAAGAAAAGATTGGTGGATGTCAATCCGCTGTGCAGGTCACACTTTGCAATTGGCGATTAGTTGTGCTCTTAAACCCCCTCAGTTCATACAAGCTCTAGTAGCAGAAAAATGTCTTGTGGAGCACTTCAAAAAAGTGAGCTGGCTTCAAGCAAGCTGAAGGCCTGGGGAAAAAGTACCTTGACCTGGCAGCAGATCAGTGGGTCCTGCACATGGAACTGGCTAAAGCCCTTAAAGCCTTTGAATGCACCACCGTCTACTTGAGTGATTAAAGCTATGTGACAGTTTCTGCTCTTCCTCCTCTGGTCAGAGGGCTTTTGAAGTCCACTTACACCACCTATGATGCAGCTGTTGTGCAGGCCTTTCAGGCAGTTGCTTCAGGGGAGACCACTGCCCGCTGGACTAAAGAGGTCACAGTCACAAGTGATAACCCATGCACACAGGTCATCATAGCTGCCTTAGATTCATGGTTTAGGAAACTGAAATATCTGACTACAAAGGAGAGGTTTAGTGTTCAAAATAAAGTCCAATCTCTAGCCATATGGTCCATTCAAGTGGCTGAGAAGACAAGAAATGTCAGTGAGACTATCAAGACCCTTGCTTCAACTGAGAGAATTTTTTAGGCTCTTGATTCACTGCTGGGCTGTGACTCCTCAACAGACAGTGACGCTGAGACCAGTGGACATGATGCTCATGACCAGGCTATCACAAATGAGGTAAGATGTATTTATTGTAATGATAGTGCTCGTTAATTAACATATTATTAATTAACATAGTTAATAATAAATAGTAACTACCTACAGTTACGAGTTCCTTCGTAAAAAAGTAACTCAGTTAGTAACTCAGTCACTTAAACCAAAAAGTAATGCGTTACTGAGAAAGTAACTATTTAGTTACTGTAAAATGTTCTTCCAATGCTTCCATTACATAAAGATGGATTGAATAAGTTTCCCTCTAGCCGCCATTTCAGTTCTGTACTGATGCTAAATAAAACAAACTGTTGATTAAAATAACTGTTTCAATTCATTTGCATCCACGTCACTGAATCTAATCATCCAGGCAATATGATCCATTGTGCACCAACACGAACCTTGACACTAACACCTAAATTTTACCATTACCAAGCGAATATAGAACGTGAAATTACGAAATATTTGGAGGCCAATTTTGACGCGCCTGACTATACACATCAAGCCCGATGGAAATTCTCCACGTTGAGCTCCTTGATCTCCCGCCTGTGTATCCAGCCTACCTCTCAGTATTTGTTTGTGAGTTCTTTTGTTACTTTCCAGAGAATTTTTTCCCTTGAGCAAAGGTGATTTTATGTTCCATTTTTTCCCTCTAGTTGAGAAGATTTTTTGGTTTACGATTTTCTGTTGCACTTTGTCTTTTACATCCTTAGTTGTAACTTGCCCCACATGGCACTTTGAACTTTGTTTTTATACCAGCTATTTGCCTTACTGCAGTGACTTTTTTTCTAACTCTGTTTTTGTGTCTTTTTAGTGGCAGTCCCAGCCAACCGTGCCTTTTTTCGGAAACGGCGATTTTCTGTTGTTACTTTGTTCTTTTGTTTATTGTCAATAAATTTGGGCTTTTGCCTCTGCATTTTTGGATCCTGGCCTTTGTTCGATTCCTAACACAATCATCCGGCCAGAAGAGAATGGATTCAGCAGAGGCGGAACATCTAAGACACGCCGTATCCACTCAAGGTGTGTTAGTAGGCAAACATGAGTCTACCCTCATGCAAATCATGAAACATTTGCAACAGCTCACTACCAGTTTCTCCCAGTTAAGAAGCGAGCTGGGGACCATGCGGGATCAACCTCCTCCGCTCCTGCACCTCCTCCTCCAGCGCCTCCACCCGCCGAGCGATCTGCTGCCTCTCCCCTGTCAGCTAGGGAACCATTTATTCCCATCCCTCCCAGATACTCCGGGGATCTAGGTACATGCTCGGAGTTCTTGTTACAGTGCTCCTTAGTTTTTAGTCAGCAGCCAGCCACTTACGCTACCACACAGTCAAAGATAGCGTTTATTATGAGTCTGTTGTCTGATCAGGCTGCCTCCTGGGCACTAGCTGTAACTACCGGGGGGTTTGGAAATATTGACAGATTACACCGAATTCACGGGGGAAATGAAACGAATCTTTGATCACCTGGTACAGGGCAGAGAAGCTACAAGTCAGCTATTAGACCTACGGCAGGGCAGTTTACCAGTTTCCCAGTACTGGTAAAGTACGGTCCTGAGGAGTGCTCCTGGATCTCGCGTTCCCTCATCCTCAACCCACAGCTGCTGCAAGATTTCTATGCCACCCACCCAGGTAAACCAGGTAGAATGCCAAGAGGCGTTCCTTGAGGAAAGGGTACTGTGAGGGTTTGAGTTAATGCAGCAGTTAGGTTTCTGGTGTTCCTCTCCTCTGTGTGTTCTCTCCCACTCTCTCTCTCTCTCTGCAGCGCTGGAGGCACGGCGGGAGGTGGGGATGGCCCGAACTGATTGCACACACCTGATTCTCGTTGTTGTCAATTACCTGGCTTTATATGCCAGCTCCTCTGTCGACTCAGTGCCGGGTGATTTTCTCAGTCATGCTACATGTGTCTTGCCACGCCGAGCTCCCTGATCTCCCACCCGTGTATCCAGCCTATCTCTCAGTATTTGTTTGTGAGTTCTTTTGTTACTTTCCAGAGAATTTTTCCCTTGAGCAAAGGTGATTTTGTGTTCGCATTTTTTTCCCTCTAGTTAAGAAGATTTTTGGTTTAGGATTTTCTGTTGCACTTTGACTTTTACATCCTTAGTTGTTACTTGCCCCACATGGCACTATCATTTGAAATTTGTTTTTTCACCAGCTATTTGCCTTACGCAGTGACTCTTTTTCTAACTCTGTTTTTGTGTCTTTTTAGTGGCAGTCCCAGCCAACCATGCCTTTTTTCGGAAACAGCGATTTTCTGTTGTTACTTTGTTCTATTGTTTATTGTCAATAAATTTGGGCTTTTGCCTCTGCATTTTTGGCCTTTGTTCGATTCCTAACACTGATAGTGCTAAAAAGAAACGCCAATTAAAACAATTAAACATACTTTGCTATTGTTTTATCAAGTTGTGCCTGGCCATGGGTCCATCTTTCAAACTCCAAACGCTGCTGCTTGGGTGGAGCTGATGTGTACTCACTTTGTCAAAGCATGCCACTCCTCTAGATGCTTCAGTAGACTGCTTTTGCTGTTGTTCGCAACTAAGGATTTTTGACCCGGTACACAATTTACATGTTACCAAAATGTTGTTTTTCTCTTTACTCTCGAGTTGAAAATAATGTGAGTATATTGACCAAGGTACGTTTTATCAGTCTGTTTCCTGGCTAAAAAAGACATAAGCAGAAGCAAAAAAACAAGCAGTTTTGTTATTTCTCCGTTTTGCACAAAACAAAAAAACAACAAAAAACAAACAAACAAAAAAAAACAGGGAACGGTTTGTTTTTTCGTTTTGAGCAAAAAAAAAAAAAACGGGAAATGGCTCATTTTTGTTGTTTTATCCTATTCACCAAATAAATTAAAATACCCATTTTGATCTTCAGAGCAGAGGTATTGGTGGTGGATGTCGGGTATCCCTTCCAGTAGCTGGTTGCTGCAGCTGTGCCAATATACACGAAGGACCTAATCGTTCAACGGTACCAAGAACTGATTGCCGTGCCACTGATTACCCCCAGACAGTGAAGAAAGCTGCGGACACAGAGCAGCCACAGAGGATGGGGTTTACTTTTTCCGCCACCCTGATTCTGACACTGATCGAGTTGAGCCAGGTGTAGGTCCGCCCATGTGATCTGGCTTAAATTCCAGGTCTGTTGCAGCAACTGATGGCTGGGACTAATAGGGTGCGACCAAATTGTCAGGATAACCATTCAGTCACAAATGTGCTGATAAGCATTCGACAGAAACAGAGTTGCTGGTGATCACACACGCACACAGGCGTGTCTTCCGCTTGGCCTCCAGGATTTTCATTAACGCCACCGGCACATTAAAGTTATGAAAATCTGACAAGGGGCGGCCCTTCCTGGAGACCCAGCTAGCAGAGGTTCCCTGCGCTGGAAAGGGAGCTGGAGGGAACAATGTCTGGCAGGCTGTGAAGAGCATTAAAGAAATATCTTAAAGATCGCAATTAGCCGATTAAAATACATCCATATAGGTCAGTGCTGACTCAGATAGGATATAGCCTACCAGAGTGAATCATAATTTCATTTAACTTGAAAAAAATGTACACATATTTTTTTGAAAACATTGATGTTTTTCGTGGTTCTAGATCAAAATGTTGAGTTTCATTTACATTTATTTTTTTTAGTTACAAAGCTTTTGACCCTAATTTAGCTCAATATTAATCCAGATTCATGTTTCGATCACTTGGCTGTCTATAGGGGAGGATTGATGGCAACGTTAAGGCATGGTGATACCTGCTGGTCAATTTAAAAAACGATTTTCACATCAACTCCCCAAAACAAAATTCTAAAGAGTTTTGGAAAAGGGACATGAGGCATCAGTCTGTTATTCCATGATGATTCAGAACCTTGGTAATGGGCCCATGTTAGCTTTGAGGAAAATATGGGAAGGGGATTTGAATCTGAAATCCAGTGATGAGGAGTGGGATAGGATTTGTAAAAATGTTAAAATAACATCAAGGGATGCAGGGGTACACCTCATTCAGTTCAAGATTATACAATGCTTTTACTGGACTCCTTTCAGATTGTTTAGACTGGGATTATTACCTACATCACATTGTTGGAGATGTAAATCTGAGGAAGGTCATCTGATTCATGCATTATGGTCCTGTGACAAAATTCAACAATTCTGGGCAAAGATTTATGATAATCTATATGAGATTAAAGAGACACAATTCCCATTTAGCCCTAGATTATTTGTTTTGGGTGATCATTCAGTTCTGACTGGAAAAGGAAAACATATTAAAAGCTGGATCCAAACCAGTATTATGATCAGTAGACAGGTACTTGTCAGGGGTGGAAGACAGAGGGGGTGCCCTCTTTCCAAGAATGGGCTGCAGAAATGGCACGAGTTACAGCATTTGAAAAAATGTCATATATACAAATGGGTAGAGTGGACCTACATGAAGGAAAGTGGGGTAAATAATCGCATTTCTTAAAGGGCTCCTGAAAAGGGTTATGTAGTGGAGAGCTGCAAATACTGAGTTTTTATTTTTATTTTTATGTGAGGTCTGCATACCTGTGCTTTTCTTTTCCTTTTGTGTATGCTGTGCTTACGGAATCCAGCTAAATATGTACATCTATGTGTATGTAGAAGGACATGTGTAAGTGACTAAGTAGATTTGGGTATTTGCACTCAAGTGAAGTGATAGAGGGATTTATTCTGTTTTATGATGATTATTGTTTTTTTTTTTTCATAAATGTATTTATTTACTTTCATTAATGGTTTAGATCAGACCTGGGCATTTTACAGCCCGCGACCCGACTCTGACCGGCCCGCGAAAGGTTGCTTGGAATTTAGAAAATAAAACCTACTTTTGAATTTTAATGCATGGACTAAAACAATAGGATGTAAAAAACTAATGCTTTTACTTTGAAGCCTGTTTATTTATGTACATTGAATGTAGCCTACAACGTCGTATATGTAATCCATAAAACAAGTCAATCAGTGCACATGATTAGCGGCCATTGTCACCCCTCAACGATGTACGGGAATGTTAAAAAAAGAAAGGTGGACGCTGAAGGCCGAAATTTCAAGAAGATTTGGAGCACTAAATATTTGTTCACTGAAGTCGGCGGTAAACCCATCTGTTTAGTTTGTGGTGAGCAGGTCGCTGTGTTCAAGGAGTACAATTTGAGTCAGCATTATGGGACACTTGGCGGAGGCTGAGAGAGCGTGAATTTCGGAAGACTTGCTAGCAAAGCTAGCAAAACAACAAGGCTATTTTACCAAGCTACACACAGCCCGGGATGCAGCGACCAAGACCAGCTTTGTAATATCCCACAAAATCGCTAAAAACTGTAAGCCATTCTCGGATGGTGAGTTTGTGAAGGAGTGCTTGGTGGACTCTGCCACGCTAATATGCCCTGAGAATAAAGAAGCATTTGAAAAAGTCCCGCTGTCCAGGGGAACCATCACCAGAAGGGTAGAAGGCATCGCGGAGGATCTCAAACTTCAGCTAAAAAAGTGGAGTTGAAAGTTTTGACTTTTTCTCTTTGGCTTTGGATGAGAGCTGTGATGTCCGTGAAACTGCCCAGGTACTGGTATTTCTCAGAGGAATAAGGCAGGACTTCAAGATTACAGAGGAGCTGGCAGCATTGAGGTCAATAAAAGGAACGACAACGGGGAGTGATCTGTTTAAGGAGGTAGATGCATGCATGGTCAAGCTTGGACTAAAATGGGACAAACTGGTAGGTGTCACTACTAATGGTTGTCAGAATGTGACGGGGAAAATTGTAGGACTTTTGAAACAGATCCGAGATAAAGTGACTGAACTCGGCTCAGAGCATAAGTTGGTGTTGATACATTGTATAATACATCAGCATGCGTTGTGCAGGTCTGTGCTAAAACTTAACCATGTTATTAATGTTGTAACCAAAACGGTTAACTTTATCAGGGCGCGAGCATTAAATCACAGGCAGTTTGTTGCACTTTTAGAGGAGCATGAGAATGAACATGGTGACATCAGGTACCACACAGCTGTCTGATGGCTCAGTCTGGGCAAAGTGCTAAAAAGATTTTGGGACCTGAAAACAGAGATTCAAGAGTTTTGTAAAAACACTGAGGATGAAATGCACCTGGTTTCCTCTCCCTTTACCTGCAGAGTAGATAATGCACCCAGTGACGTTCAGCTAGACCTCATTGACCTGCAGTCTGACACAGTACTGGCAGAGCACTTTAAGTCATCATCACTGCTGGAGTTCTACTCATCTCTCAAGGAGGAGAACTTTCCAAACATGAGGAGACATGCTCAGAAGATGTTGGTTCTGTTTGGATCTACCTACATATGTGAACAAACATTCTCAGTAATAAAGTTTACCAAATCCAGGTTCAGATTCTCTCTTAAGGTCCTTACACACCAGCGAATTCGCGGAGCGAAGCGAAAAAGCGAGACGAAAATGCAAATATTCGCCGGTCCGAAAAATCCCTTTCGCCTATACACACCGGGCGCAAAGCGAATATGCGTATAAATTTTGCAAAGTGAATTAATAAATATATATTGTCTTTGACACGAGTTCTTTCGTGCCACGGAGGAGAGGAGAACAAAGAAATTGAGTCAACAATATCATCAAGCGATGATGAGCTCGTTGTGATGCTTTTGGCAAAAAAAGAAGACAGAAGAATAAACAAAGGAGTGTTTGGTTACATCCCATATTGACTTTGAGGGAGGAGATGGGCGAGTTCCACACCACCATCCAGTGGTCCTGTACCGCAATTACCAGCCTCTCTCCCATCGTTGCTCTTGTTGCCAGTGGTGGTGTGTGTCGTGTGGACTGCAGCCGCATGGGTCTGTGACATCATCAACAACATGACTTTTGATTGGCCAGAGGTCTAGCAGGTCCAGATATATGCCTGCGAATGTCCGAAAAATTCGACACAAGAGCGAAAAAATAAAAGTCGCTTTCCGCCCCGCGGAAAAATTGGTCTGCTTCAAATGACAGATGGCATATTTTTAAACATTGGCTACCAAAGAAGGATCAATAGCTGGTGGTGACTGTTTAAGGGGGTTTGTTTGTTTGTGCGGGGGTGGTGGGGTTAAAAATGTTAAAAATAATAAAAGTGTTAATCACAAAAAAAATAAAAAACTATTTTCAGCATGCCTCGTCGGTCTTGTCTTTTGTGTTTAATCATTGATAAATATTTCTCTCTCACTTAATCAATAAATAGCCTACTTCCCTGTAAATCCTGTACTGGGTACAGTACTTCCTTTGATTTAGAATAAGTGCATATGGGGGCAGGCCAGTGGCGGCTGCTGGTCTTTCAAGGAGGGGAAGCTCATTTTTCTGGCCTACATCATAATTGTGTGTGTTTGTTTATTTGTATGTAACAGAACAGAGTCGCAAAACACAACGGCAGTCGTTTTTAACAAAGACAAAAGTCGCTGAGGATCGGTAAAGTCTCCGGAGCAGTTAAGAACAACAGAATAAATAACTTGGAAAATGCTCTGGTAGATGTTTTATTCTTCAAGATCGCTGATTCGCTTGTTTAGCTGTCAATCAAAAAAGGATTTTGCCTCAGACAGCTCATCCAATCATGGATGCAGAAGCTCAGCGTCCCCGAGAAAGTTGGGACCGCCCTCTCGTCATAGAACTCCAGAGACGCTGAGCATCCGATGGGCGGAACAAAGCCAAGCATTTAACCAATGAGCGTCTAGTTTCGCTGCTGGAACAACCCACTTTGAGCTTCCACATTGAAGTCAGAGGACGCTGAGCGTCCGGCTGTGTGAAGCGCTGAGGCGCTGCGAGGATGAATGAGAACAAGGTTGTGCCGGTTACCTGTGATTATCAGCTTCTTATCACAGTGTGATAAGAAGCTGATTCTGAACAAAAGATGAAGGCTTTCTAGCGCGTATTTAGTTAATGAAATGTACACACAGCAGTACGTATTTGACCACTTTTTCTTTTTTTGGGGGGGTGACATTTTAAGGGAAGCTGAGCTTCCCTTGCAGTCTTAGAGCAATCGCCACTGGGGCAGGCGATTCAATGAAAGTCAGTTTCTCCATGCCTGCTAGTGCAGGAGCTTTATTGTGAAGGTTAGAACCCTTATTTTAAAGGGCAACACACTGGTTAGCTTTAAAGCCCTGCCCACCAAGGAAACGAAATATGGAGTGGTATTTTAATTTATTTGGTGCAAAGGAAAAAATGAAAAAGACGATCCGTTTCCCTTTGTTTTTTTGTTTTTTTTTGCTCAAAATGAAGAAACAAACCATTTCCTGATTTTTTAATTTTTGCGCAAAACATCTTGTTTTCTTGTTTCTGCTTGTGCCTTTTTAGCCGGGAAAGTGATAAAACATACCTTGGTCTATATCCATGAGGAGAAACTTATCTTCCCCTTCTCGCTGTGCCCTGACCTGTCCAGTCTTCTTCATGGCGTGTGTTTGATCACATGTGTGATGCTGGAGGGTGACAAGTGCTTTGGTTTTTCAATTCGATTAAACTTTATTGATCGCTACAATGTTATGGGAACTGTGTGCCGTTGTAGAACCTGTACAAAAAGAATGGAGTAATGCAGTGTTTGGTTACCGAAACGGAGTTACTGAATTTAAAAAAACAATTTGTTACATTATCAGTTACTAAATAAAGTAACAATGTTACGTAATGCTTTACTAATGATGCGTTACTACTAGGGCTGCACAATATATCATTTCAGCATCATCATCGTGATGTACATGTGCACGATAGTCACAATGCAGAGCCTGCGATGTCGGAGGCGAATGAACTCATCTAATTTCAAGGGTAGCTGACAGGAACACTGCATGTGACTGTGCATGTGCTGTGCAGCTATCCACCATTCACATTCATTCTTTACTCAGTTGTCAATCAGAATACCCTGCCAGCCGTCAATCAAAGACAGAGAGGAGGAAACCACACCCCCTGCACATGGAGTGAGTTGCTGGCGCTGCCAGTGTTGTGCTGAGAAATATGTGTGTGCTGAGAATAACTTTCGGAACATTTCTTATCACTGTTTAGCCCCACAAATAAGAATTGTATGGGTTTCAAATTGTACATTTCTGTGGACCACTCTTCTAAGGGCGATGCGTGTTTTGCGAGATTCATGCTATTCTCGGCGGGCATGCGTTTTTCCGCACAACACCAGTAACAACAACAACGACTGCAAAATAAGCAACGGACAAGGGAAAGCCACTGAAATTGAAGACTTGTTCGCAAAAAGAAAAGCAACATCAGTAACATCACAATAAAAGCAAACTAAAAATATCTCTGAGACAGACAGAAGCCATTCTACTAATATTCAAAAACAAGGTAAGATCAGTCCACGTTAATTGTCCACAAGATCTAAGCAGTGCAGCATAGCATAAAGTGCTATTCAGGTCATCTGGTGAAAATTCCAGTATTGTTTAATATCACAATATATATCGCAGGGTCAAAAAAATTTGCAGTGTTAGTTTTTTTCAATATCGTGCAGCCTTAGTTACTACCCAACACTGATAATATGTATGGTTACATCCCAGAAATAGTCATAATGCTTATTTTCATTCATTGTCCCATGACAGGTGCTTTTGTACTGACGAGTGCAGCCTCTTTTAAGGACTGAGAGTCCCCTTTCTTGGTGGAAGTCATCACCAGCCAAGTCATTCTTGTGCATTTCAGCTACCTCCATGGACATCAAGCATCTCTTCTTTGCGGCTGGAAACATCACCTCAAAGAAGAGAGCCAGCCTCACCCTTAAGCATGTTGACATACAGTTATGCACTGCAACTTCATAAAAAAGTAATATTTCCTGTTAGTCACGTTGGCTTTAAGCTTTGTTTGAGTGTTTCGACTTTAAAAGCCAACTGTGAAAATTGATGTTTTGTTGTATTTCTATATTTTTACTTTTATGGACTTAATTGCTTGAAGTAAAATCAACTCATTTGGTTTAAACCTTGTTACCTCAAGGCAAGGCCGGTTAACTGCAGCTTTTCTGAGTTACTTGCTGAAAGATAAATTTTGTTAACTACCACCTGCACTTGAAGTTTGTATCATTTAATTATTTTTTTTTTAAATTGTGATCACAATGGTATTTTACATTGAAAACTATATAACCTATGTTACTGATAAATGTTTTATGTGGTAGAATTTTAATATATTTGTTTAAAAACGTATGCTGTCAGAGTACAACAGGGTAACTTTCACAGCTGTGAAGAGTTTGGCAACTCTAGGTCAAACAGATGTCCAAAATAGGTGCTTTTTGCCATGACAATATCGCCAGTGGTGAAAAAACCCCTCGGACGGGATACTGGTACTCAGTACACACCAATACGTGCTCCAGGCTGGTTTGTTTGAGCCATGCTGACTGTGTTTCTGGGTGATGTCTTGTCAAATGGTTGCAGAGATTTGTTGTATTGCTGCTGTATTTTACCTTCCCGTTGCATATTTTGCACATTACTTGTTTTTTGTCCAATTAGTCGTTTTCTTCCACCTTATTAAATACATCCAAACATCAGCTTTTAAACTCGTCAGCGGTGCCTTGAGAGGTGGACATGACACTTCCGTCATGACTGCTGACGGTAACATCTCACAAGGTCTTATTCTGTGGAAAGCAGTGGAAAGCTGCGCTAAACGCTGATCACGCAAGACAAGCAGGGTTGATACTTCAGGCCGCTTCTCCGCACATCCAATGAAGAAAAAACTACTCAACTTAAAAGATTGATCTATGGATTTTATCAATCGATTATGAGCCGTTTAAAGGGAAATAAATTAAAATCAATCAAATCGATTTTTTAAACCTCGCCCTAATCCTAAGGCTGAGTTTCAGTATTTTCCTGAGATCAAAGGAAGGTTTTATTTAGGTTTATACACAATGCTTCACAATGTCTTTTTCTCTTGTTAAACACAAGATGCACAGCAGGGCTCCTGTATACAATCACATTCAGCTGTTTGTGACACTGGGAAACATAAGCTTTACTATGGTCCCCTCTCCTATAATCTTCATGTTGTTTTCTGCATTGTTAGCTACTCTGTGGATGCCAAAAGTTGAGCCTAAGTCTCCTCTTTTTGAGAGCCATGACTTAGGTCTTCAGTGTAAACAGCAGTACACTTTCCTTGATGCACCCTCAGTAACACTAGATAACATGATTGGTTTGTGTGCTAGGAGGCCCCCCAAAACATAACTACTCAATTATTACAAAACCTAAAAAAACAAGCAAAGGGGGTCACCTTGCATGCTTCAGACCCTTGGGGCTCTATTTTCGTGTTTCGCTGGCGATGTGGTGCAGGTGCGCCGACAAGGCGTTCTCAAGCACAATTTGGTATTTTGGTGAGTGGCGCAGCCCGGTGTAAGCATCGCTCCTCCCAGCAGCGTAAGTCATAGGGATGGAGGAGAGAGGGTGTGGAGTGGGTTTAACACAGCTGAGACCTGTATTGACCAATAACATAAGCTCCTCTCCTCACCTTTAAATCTGCCACCGGCGAGGCATATTACAATTTTTATGCAGTAGTCAAAGAGATCAAGAGATGTATGAAGACAGCAATGCCACACGATGGCGACAGAAAGCAGCCCTTCAACAAGTGTTGCTGTAAGCGCTGCAGAGGGCGCACTGCACACTGTCTCATATAAGCACAGATGGATTTGATGTGTGTAAGGTTGGACCCACTGTAAGACAAACACCATTTTCCACAAATAAAGAAACTCGCATAAAGTTACATATATTTAAACCTCACATGACAAAGGTGGGTTGAGCGCACAGATCACAACATAAACTCCAATAATGGCATTAAAATCGGAACCATCTGTGCATAAAGGACGCATTGCGCTCCGTGGCCTGGCTCTTTCTTTCATTGAAGTTGGCATATGAAATAAATTCGACTCACGCAACTGAATATTACAATGTTCGTATGTAGGTTTAAGTAAATAACTCATCTGATCATTGAAACAAATCATCAGCAGCAGCTGCAGCAGGACTGGAAGAGGACACGAAGACATGTCCAGGTCGAGCTGCGCGAGAAATAAGAGGAAGAGGAAGAAAGAAAAAGAGGGAGACGAATCACATATGTGGTTTACTTCATCATGTGTGTCTATTTACTAGATATTTAATTTAATTTAATGCGATTTCAGCTGTGGTAATTCGGACAGGTTGAGTGTCCAAACACGTGCCAAATGCGCTCATCAGATCAGATATAGATCAGAATATATCAATATAGATCTAAATGTATGTGCTGACTTAGAATATTAGTTGTTGTTGATTATTTATTGCATTGAAATGTGCCTGACACTGTGGAAACCTGCCTGTGAGGCATCGGTGACGTAAGCGTGCTACGCCGCCGGTCTACCAAAATACCACTAGACCAGCTGCGCTCCACCTCTGCTGAAAGCTGACCAGGTTTGAATCAGCGAGCTTTCAGCGCACTTTACACGCTGGCAGCGAGCACGAAAATGTCACTGCGCCAGCTGATTATGTTGACACCTCCCCCTGCCACACCACCACGCCCAGCTTGGCGGACCTTGGTGCGCCTCTGTCCACAAAAATACCAAACTGGCTGTACGCCGGGCTCCGCCAGAGGAAAATACCACTGCGCGGAATGCGCCACCCACCACCGCGTCGCCGGCAGACACGAAAATAGAGTCCTTGGTTTTAGAATTTTTCAGTAAGGGTCTCTACATACTTTTGACCTCTGCAGAGCAAATCCTACGTGACTTAGCTGCAATTTCAACAAGGCTGTAGTTTTTAAGAGCACATTTAAAGAGGGCCTGTGAAAAATTTGACAGGCAGCATGTTTTGAGTGAAGAGAGCTAGAGACAGCAAGACGTATGTGCATTGTTTCATCTAAAGACCCACTCCGATGAAAATCATGTTTTTCTTGTTGTCCATACGTTCAGATAGCATTTTTCTGATGCTACAGGACAAGTCATGACAAAACTAAAGGCAAAGTTGCATTTCTGAGTATTTCTGCATTGAAATCGCTGTGAACCTCTGGCAGACCCCAACAGCAGGTTCAGACACAGTGGGATTTTCTAAGTAACATACCCAAGCTCCACCCACAGCGCCCGCCCTGCAGGCCAGAGCCCAGAAAGTAGAGAGGATGATGGCAGCACAAGTGTGTGTGGTAGCAGATTGCAATGCTAGTAAGAAAGCTAATTACGATATTAGCTTGCATCATGTCCCAAAAGGCAGTAGTGTTCGAGAGCTGAATAGCTCCCATATGACCGACCACTTCTGCTGCACCAGCAATGATAGGCTACAAGCTAGCGTAAGGAGGAGTGTGAGGGAACAGCCCACTACTCAGAGGCGAATTAGGGGAGACCGGGGCTTGTTGTCACACATTTTACACTTCTATATTTCTTGGAATCATTACATCATACATAAACAAAATGTGTACCAGATGAAAGACCAAAGTCTCAGGTATATATTTCGTATTCATGCCATTATCATATCTTGTGTCAGTTCAGAGTTATAAGGAACCAAATAGAGAATGTGAACATGTGACATGTTGCCCCACCATTGCGTAAATTGTCTCACTACATGGGGTAAGATGTCACAGTGGACTTTGCAGCGAATAAAGCGAATAGTGAATCCTTTTTACTTGAAAGCGAACATTAAAGTCAGGCACAGGAAATGTTTATCATTGAGCCCTCAGTGTCACGTCAGGCACCGCACTGCCACATTCTGTTTTTCTTTCATGTCTTCTTGCTTTCTCCTCTCCTTTAAACCAGTCTTTTCTGTGTAAAAGTAAAATCAAAATTTCTATGTCAACTGCTGATAAGCAGACTCTCTATATTAATTTTAATCCCCTCTAAACATATGACAAGTAACCCCGAAATGACTGAGACATGTTGCCCCAAACTACCATGTTTGCTAATTGTAGTTCTAGCTTAAAGTTAGCTTAAAACAGAACAATGAATGATAGGATAGGATCAGTGGCGATTGCACTAAGACTGCAAGGGAAGCTCAGCTTCCCTTAAAATGTCACCCCCCCAAAAAAAGAAAATGTGGTGAAATACGTACTGCTGTGTGTACATTTCATTAACTAAATACGCGCTGGAAAGCCTTCATCTTTTGTTCAGAATCAGCTTCTTATCACAGTGTGATAAGAAGCTGATTCTGCACAACTTCGTTCTCATTCATCCTCGCAGCGCCTCAGTGCTTTAAACAGCCGGACGCTGGGCTTCTGCTGGGCTTCAATGTGGAAGCTCAAAGTGGGTGTTCCAGCAGCGAAACTAGACGCTCATTGGATAAATGCTGGGCTTTGTCCCGCCCATTGGAGGCTCAGCTTCACTGGAGTTCTATGGCGAGAGGGCGGTCCCGACTTTCTCCCGGACTCCGAGCTTCTACATCCATGATTGGATGAGCTGTCTGAGGCGAAATCCTTTTTTGATTGACAGCTAAACAAGCGAATCAGCGATCTTGAAGAGTAAAACATCTACCAAAGCATTTTCCAAGTTATTCATTCCGTTGTTCTTACCTGCTCCGGAGACTTTACCGATCCTCAGCGACTTTTGTCTTTGTTAAAAACGTTGTGTTTGGTGACTCTTTTTTGTTACATACAAATAAACAAACACAATTATGATGTAGGCCAGAAAAATGAGCTTCCCCTCCTTGAAAGACCAGCAGCCGCCACTGGATAGGATAGGGTTAGAGCTAGAGTAGGATAGTATGACAGGATAATCTCTCCTCTAATAAGTCCACATGTATCACTGCTAGGATTTTTATCTGGAAGAAGCTTATTTTAAAATATGTAAAGTTCATTTTTTTTACTTTGGGTTGTGCAAAATGGTCAATTGGTGCTCATCTCAGCTCACAATGTGCTTTTGTCTTCTCAGACAGGACATGACCATAGAAAGGAAGAAAACTAGCATTCCACTTTTTAGTTACGCCCGCTGGTGGCAAAGATCATTGCAATGTGACAACTTACCCATGTGACAACAAGCCCCAGTCTCCCCTACTAATGACCAACTGGAGCTCTGCAGAAGAAAAGCCCTTGAAAAGGACACAGGTAACGTGATTTTGGCTAAAAACTTCAAAATCACTATGTAAAGGACTTTAAAGGTGTTTTAGGCAGGATTCTGTTAAAGAAGCATCTTTTTTTGTGGTGTATATACAAAAAAGCTTTTAATATCAGTCAATAGCTATTAGTTATTGATGACATTTAGTAATATAACAATATCGCTGCGTTTTCTTATGTCTGTGTAGTCAACATTTTAGATTTTTTGAGTGGCCCGCTCTTTCTCACTCTAAAGAAAGCCATTCTCCACCTCCCCCAACCTGATTGGTTGTGAGGCGGACGCTGCCCCCTCATGTTGTGAGGCACGCTTCATGTCCTCCAATAATGTGCACGAGCTCAAACAAAGTTAGCATGCTACAATATCAGACAGTGGAAAGCAACCAGAAAGTACGGAAAACACAAGCAAGCCAACAAAGTAAATACCGGAGACGGGCCCTTAGAACGGAGGTAGACCGGACATGATCTAAAAAGCCAGGTCAACATCAGCATAAACGATGGGGGACGCTTCGGGATCCTACGGACTCTGTATCCTTTCTGCTGTTAACGGCTTGAACAAAGTAAGCCTAGTGCCTGTTACAGAAGTGTTTCTTGTCAAACGGAACCTGCTGCGTGTTGTGGCGCCGCTAAACTGTTTACCTCGGGTCCTAGAGTATGTCACTTCACCCTAGCTGTAGAAGTCCTGCAAACATTGTGTTTGCTGGTAGTCTGTTGGCATCTACAGTAGCACCAATACTTTTTACAATCACATTGACTGGGCCCCATTCGTAATTATCTGAAGTATTTATCTGCATTAAATCTGAATTTCATTGAAACGATATGAGCGAGCAGGAGTGTCTATTTGTGGGTGGGGTTGCTGGAGCAGAGAGGGAGGGGAGAGGAGAAGCTGAGGGGAAAACAAGATTCAAGATTTCTCCCAAAAACTGGCACTTCCTCAGATCCTGCCAACCCCACCTTTAAGCCAGTGGAGAGCCGCTGTCCTGAAACTTCTATTTTATGTGGCTGCTGTCAGGAAATCAAGATTTATAGACTAAGAGCAATACATATAAGAGTGCTACATACTGGAAAAACTTGAAGGCTTTGACAGTTCCTCCACTGTTAGAAAACAGAAGACGCAGATCATCCTCTCCGACACCATCTCTGCACAGAAAGACAAACTATTACTCACCCAAAGAACAGCAGAATAAAACAACAAAGCATTGCCAGAGCACAGTTGTTTCACTATCAGCCTAAACAGAAATAGAGCACAACTTAACCAATCAATGGAGGTATTCCTACCTGATATTGGAGAGGTGCAGTGTTGCAGAGGGTGGGAAGATGTTTTGGAAGTTTTTGGACCCTGGTTTCTTAAAACGATGAAGCGGTGAGCCGGAAAAATCTATTGGAAAAAACAAAAACAAAATCACATTTCTGCATTAACTTAAGGTGAGAGTTCTTTAATTAACAATGTACAACAAATGTTTTGTGTTTGTTGTGTATTTTACCTTTAGTCAATAATTGGTCATCCAGTCCTTCTCTTGGCAGAGCCACAGTTTGATGTTTTGACAGAGTCACTCTCATGACTTTTCCAAACACTTTCTGGCCGTTCAGATGGCTCATTGCTGCAAGGAAAGAGCAGTAATAAAGGCAATGAACTGATAACAGTTTTTAAAGCCAAAAAATTGAATGAAATTTTTTAACATACAAAATTTGTTACAGGGGACCAAGTTTTGATGTCTTTATTAGGGCCAAAGGGCAAATGCACCGAGGCATTATTGTTATACCGTGGCTTTTTTTTATTATTTTGATATATTTTGATTCACCACTAGTCCTACAGGTTAAAAAGTTGTAGGACACATTATATATAAATATAATATAATATATCGTAATTCTGAGACAACTATCTTAATTGAGTGAGTCAGAGTGAATTTTGCAATATGCCTCAGTAGGTGACAGTAAAAAAACTGATGAGTTTTTGTACCAAACATTTTTCTTGTTGTTATTCCTAAATTTGGCTTGATATCACACACAAATATCACCCTACTGGAAAGTAAAAAAATGACAGAAATCCAAACTTGAATCCCTAGGATCAGTGTCAAGACTAATTTCTTTACAAGTTGAACGATGGCAACTGGACTTGATTCTATGAATACAAACATAATTCTATACATAGTAAAGTCAATATTGCGTAAGTCTTGGTTGATGCTATTTCACAGTTCAATACTGATACCTGATACTACTGACATAAAAACTCACCAAGCTGAGCTTGGTTGCCATCGGACAGTTGTATCAAAGCGCTGTCCTTTTTGTTGTAGAGAATCTTCACCCTCTGCACATCACCATAGACTCCTGAAGGCATGGAGAGAGTGAGAAAGACAGCAGGAAAGGCAGACCCGAGAGAAAAAGAGAGAGCAGGGACGAAGAGGAGGGAATCACAGACAGAGCAGAAGGGATGGATAAAAGAAGGAGAGGTGTAAAGGATGAAAAGATAAAGTTAGTGCTAGAAAGACAAATGGAAGGAAAAAGATGGAATTTTTACCCCATTTGACTCCCACCAGACTCAATCAAAACAAAACATTTCATATAATGACTGTAAACCAGTAAGACAATTCAGACAGTGAATCATCTTGGCAACTGGCTGAATTATGATTTGGCTGTCAGTGTTTACATAACCCGAGAATCTAACTCAAATATTGATGATAAAAAGGGAAAGTTAGAAGTAAGCAATACAGGAAAAAGGAGACATTTTACAGAATCTCTCCAGAAAAACAAACCAGCCTGATATGTTTATGGTAAATACAGAAGGAGGACATACATCTAGGCCTTTAATGCAGCTTCTGTAATGACATAAATAAATCTCTTTATATTCTCAAGCAGCGACATTTTGGCAAATAAGGGTTAAAACAAATGCGACAAAATTTCTTGTTTAACAACTGATTGGCTGATAATCTGGGGACAAAGTAATTAACTGTAGATTTGAATGTAGTTGTTTTCTTCCAAAACCTAAAGAAAATAGAGAAGACACAGGAAGAGATTTTAAAGACCTGCAACAAGTCTTTGAGGTGCCTTAAGTGTCAGCACCAAGACAGCGAAATAACAACAAAAGTAGCCCTGGGTCACCGGGCCGATCTAGTCCATACTCCTTGTTCTTTCATTTACAGACACCCAAGACAGTTCACTATATGCAAGCTACTGGCTAATTATTATTATTATTATTATTATTATTATTAATAATAATATATTATTATTATTATTATTATTATTATTATCATCAATTGTTGCTATGATAGTTGATCAGTGGTTTAGATGTGATGTTGATTGAGTACTGAAATATTCCAAAAGCTGAGCTTTTTTCAACTGAAAGAGCAATGACAAACCCAGCTGAAGCTAAGGAAAGAAGGTGCTGCCAGGAAAAAAAATAAATAAATAAATAAAAATAAACAGCATCAGCAATCACAGGTACACAAATACTTGTATTGGAGCCATAATAACTCAGAACACTACTCCCTACTGCAGCTTCATGGAAAGAACTCTATTGGGTGCTGTTTTCTCTTTGTCAATATAACCTTCCTAATTTTATATTCTGAAGTGTGAAAAAAAAGACATTTTTCTTAAGTATAATTTTTGCATCTGCATTGATAGCTTCAACTAGTATCCACTGGCACTATACTATGAGGAAACCCAAAAAGAGGGTATTCTGACAGAGGGTCTGATATGCTGTTGGTAAGTCTAGATCATGGGTCTGTTCATGTAACACAGAGTTGAGATGTAATTCCTGTGTTTATGACTTTTTGTGTCTTTGTTCTAATCAGTAAGGAGATAAGGGGACCAAACAATCTTTCTTGTCTTTTTGTGCAGAAACCGTGGACTTCAGGTCTGAATTATACAACTAAGACAGAGACAGGGTGAAGGGTAGCGTTTAGCTTTCAAACTTGGATCAACAGAGAAAGATTTACAGATAGAATAGTAGAGGTTGAACATACCGAAGAGGGTAAAGAGACTTTGAGGCGTGACCATCTTTAGAGAGAGAGACCGCAGAGCAGAGGACAGGAAGAGGAGGAGCAGAGGAGGAGGAAGAGGAGAGACGCAGGTAGAGATCAGACCGCCCAGCGTTGGACGAGGGGGGAAGATGGTGGTTTCCATGATGATGTGGGTAGAGCGAACATTGAAGGGTGTTGGGGTGTGGAAAGGGGTCAAAATAGCAAACCAATAGTCAGGTTAGACCAGGTTAAGAGTACAAAGCAAAAGAAGAAATTGGGACAGGCATTTGTGTGAGGGTAAGGGGTTTAAGATGTGTAGCATTCATTTAAAGATGTGAAGCCAATCAGGGCAAAAATAAAACATCAGGTGTACAGGGAGAGAGGAGGGGAGATGGGAGGTTGGAAAGGGAGAAAGGAAAAGAGGAGGACAAAAACCAAAGCAGAGATCAGTAAATAGAGCATCAGTGGAACATCAGAGGTGTCTGAATGATCGCTATAGCCAACTCCCACCCCCACCACCCAAACACACACACACGCACAGACATTTACCCCCTTTGTGGGGTGTGCTAATTTTTTTTACTCAATTGTGGAATCCACTCTTTCCAAAAGGTGGCACACACACATGCACACACGCACACAAAGTCACAAAATAGTGGAGGCATTTATAGATGAGGCAAAGAACGGGTTATAAAGGAGTAAAAGACATGCATTTCTTAAAATAATGAGTAAAACATTAAGAGAAACAAATGCTAGAGATAGAAAATGCAAGTCAGAAGATCTTGAAGCAACGTAAGAGGTGGACAGCCAGATAACATGTGGCTGGATAAAAGAGGCATTGAGAGGACTGCAATCTATGAGTGTCGAAAACATGCAAAAGAAAAATGTGTAAAGGATATTTAATTTCAAATTCTTGAGAGAAAAATATATCACCAACAGAAAAAAGTACAATCAGTTTAATTTGAGATGAAGGTGATAGTTCAGTAATTTTAGAAGTAAGGTACATAGTATATATCCATTTACAATCTCATATGAAAATATCACTTAACTAAAAGTATCGAAAGTCATATTTTGGCATATTGTGAATGTCAATAAGATATTTTTTAATATGAGAATCACAGAAATTATAAGACTTTATGAATGTGCTTATGAAGCATTATACGAGGAAAGTTTATATATCGTGATAACATTTTTTTTAGATAATCTGGTTGCACAACTATTTCTAAGAGATAGTTTCTCCCTTTATTGTTAATTTTAAAGCTTATTAACAGTCCTGTGGTTCCCTGTGTGTGTCTGTGACTGCAAATTTGTGTCTATGCTGCCATATTAGTCAGGTCTCCTGCTAAAGAGATTTTTAACCTGGATGGGACCACCCAAGTTAAATAAAGGTTAAGAATACATTTAAAAGATTTAATTGTTACTAATATATTTTCCAAATATAACAGTTTGATTTAGCTGGACATTTTTTATATGTCAGCCCCTGTGTCAGCAAAATTGTGTATAAACTTCCAAACACAAATGCTAGAGATGGGCTTTCCATTTAAACATTAGCAGACTACAATGGAAAAGTACACATTTCTGGCTTTTGAAATGCCACCAGGGGGCAGCTTAATGGCAGCACATGAAAATGACTGAAATATTTTATGGATGTTTGTCTGTCCTTTTGATGACAAAGCTGAGATTTGAGCACTTGACTAAAAAATAATTTCCTGGCTAAAATACTACTAATACATCAGACAGCCTTGTCACATCGAAGCACTACCTGGTCACTAGATTGTAATGAACGAATTAACAATTCAGTGTGTAAAAGTTAGAAATCAGGCTGGTCAACAGAGAGAACAAAATACAAATGAGAGAGAGAGAGAGAGAGAGAGAGAGAGAGAGAGAACAGAAATGTAAGGATTTACAGTGGATATAAAAAGTCTACACACCCCTGTTCGGATGCCAGGTTTACGTGATGTAAGAAAATGACAGCAAGATAAATATTTTTAAAATTTTTTCCACCTTTAATGTGACCTATACCCTGTTCAATGCAATTGAAAAACAAACTGAAACCTTTAAGGGGAAAAATTAAAAACAGAAAAGTTAAAATAACCTGGTTGCATAAATATGCACATCCTTAAACTAATACTTTGTTGCAGCACCTTTGGCTTTTATTACAGCACTCAGTCTTCTTGGGTAGGAGTCTATTTGGGTAGGAGTCTATCAGCGTGGCACATCCATCTTGATGTGGCAATATTTGCCCACTTTTCTTTGCAAAACCGCTCGAAATCTGACAGATTGTGAGGGCATCTCCTATGCACAGCCCTCTTCAGATCACCCCACAAATGTTCAATGGGATTCAGGTCTGGGCTCTGGCTCAGCCATTACAAAGTCTCAATCTTATTCCAGTGAAGCCATTCTTTTGTTGATTTAGATGTGTGCTTTGGGTCATTGCTGTGCTGAAAGATGAAGTTCCTCTTCATCTTCAGCTTTGTAGCTGGGGGCCAAAGGTTTTGTGCCAACACTGACTGGTATTTGGAACTATTCATAATGCCCTCCACCCTGACTAAGGCGCCAGTTGCAGCTGGAGAAAAACAGCCCCAAAGCATGATGCTGCCATGACCATGCTTCACTGTAGGTATGGTGTTCTTTTGGTGATGAGCAGTGTTGATTTTGCGCCAAATATACCTTTGCAATTATGTACAAAAAGTTAAAGTTTGGTTTCATCAGACCATAACACATGAGTTTGGGAGATTTTAGATTCTTTTTGCAAAATTAAGCCGGGCTTTGATGTTTTTCTCTGAAAGATAAGGCTTCTGTCTTGCCACCCTACCCCATAGCGGAAGACAGCGGGAGATTGTTGTCTCATGTACTATACAGCCAGTACTTGCCAGAAGTAGTGCCAGTACTTCCTGCAGCTCCTTCAGTGATGCTGTCAGCCTCTTGGTAGTTTCCCTGACCAGTTTTCTTCTCATCTTGTCATCAATTTTGGTCGGATGTCCTGTTCTTGGTAATGTCAGCGTTGTGCCATATTTTCTGCACTTGATGATGACGGTCTTCACTGTGTTCCATGGTATATTTAATTGCTTGGAAATTCTTTTGTAGCCCTCACCTGACTGATATCTTTGAATAATGATGCTCTGATGCTTTGGAAGCTCTCTGCAGACCATGGCTTATGCTAGAAGATGTGTCTACAGAAATATCAGGAAAAGCCTACTAGAACAGCTGAACTTTATTTGGGGTTGATCAGAGGCACTTTATTTGGTGGTTGACTCCAATTTAACATAAGTTTGAATGTAATTGGTTAAATCTGAACACAGCCACATCACCAGTTATAAAAGGGTGTTCACATTTATGCAACCACATGATCTCAGTTGTTTATTTTTACTTCACCTCCCTGAAAGATTTCTGTTTGTTTTTCAATTGTGTTGTACAGGTTATAGGTCACATTAAAGGCAGAAAAAGATGTGAATTTATTTATCTTGATGTAACTTTTTTACATGACAAAAACTTGGCATTTGAACAGGGGTGTGTAGACTTTTTATATATATATATATATATTTATAAGTATTTAGGTGTTTAGATAAGAGAGACCACAAAGCTTCTGCAACACAACAAAAGCTTAATGTTCTCATTTAAACAAATAATATATTCATTCTAAGTTAAAATGTGAAACAACCTTTGAACTTCATAGGAGTGCAAATGTAATCTAAAAAAAACCTAGGCATGAAACAGATACAAGTACACACACACACACACACACACACACACACACACACACACACACACACACACACACACACACACACACACACACACTTGCACATTCAAAAGAGGGTCATTTGCCATTTCCTGGAGTAACTACACAAGGTCTGCATCTTAGTGGACAATTATTAGCCTTGACAGTTGTGTTCTGAATAACTACGTCAAACCAAAGGAAAATTATGGCAGCACATTTGTAATGCCCTCTTTGTTCTCACAGGGTGCTTGTGAAAACTCTTCATAGAGGTATTATGCAGCTACATGCTCAACCTATTTGGATTTTTTCAACCTTTAGATTCCCTCACTATATACAAAAAGAAAAAAAGAAACTTAACAAGTTTGGGGTGAAAAATAGAAAACATCTATCAAAACATTTCTGTTTTTAAAGTGGTCTAAGGATTATGTCTAAGATTATGGTTGACAATTGACGCACCTAAAACCGTCTAAAAAGCTGTGTTAAAAAAATACAACCGGACATCAATATCATACCTCATCCACTATCAACTCAGAAAATCCTATAGCAGTAGCAAAGAATCAAAGAATACAAAGAATCATTTACTGTTAGGGTCACAGTTTGTGTACCTCTTCATTTAGGTTGGATGCCAACAGGACTCCTGATACTCCAGAACCAGACAGAGCAACACGACCAGCAGCAGCAGCTGCTGCAGCGGCAGCACTCAGTGGACTGATGGCACCTGCTAAAATAAAAACAAAAGAAAACAGGGCAAACACAGATCAGTAAAACAATTAGTAATTTGACTGAAAACTTGGCTATTGCATGAAGATGATAGATTAGGCCCCTATACAAAATCAGAGATGGTCGTAAATGCAAAAACGGAATAAAACACACATTAAATGTAAAGACCAATAAACGGGGTGAAAAAACAAACTTTGTAAATATAAAACAATTTTTAAATGATTACTCTGGAATACCACAGCACATAAATAAACACTGAATAAACAGATAAAAACCATTGGAAATCATAATTTATCTGCACCATGTAAGTTTAGTGGCTCTTTGTAGAACACTTTGTATTTTTATTTATTTTGATTGAACTTCTGTTACAACAAACTATGGTAATAAAGAGCAGGGGGTAATGCTGGGACTCCCAAAATACAAAACATAATAAAGGATTGATGCAGGCAACTGATACACTAAGCCACCAATTCTTCAGTTTTTTGTTTTGTTTCACTGAAGGGCATCACGAAGTGGCTTTTTTCCGCCTCCACCCAAACGGCTAACAGGAGACCCTTGAACTGGAAGACCTGTTCTGCATTAAGACTGTCACAAGTTTAGTGGCTTGTTTGTGTTTTGAGGACTGGGGCGAGTTTTGCACAAGCACAAGAAAACATGTTTCAGTGATAACTGATGTCCATGCAGCATTATGATATACAATCTTCAAATGTAAATGGCATTAACAATCCCAATTTCAAGTAGCCAACATATTGCAAAGCTAAAGCAAGAAAGAATTCACATTTCTTTTTTGCAAGAAACACATTTGGCTTTTATTGAACATGAGAAATTAAAAAAAATTGGATTCAAAAATACTTTATTCTTGTAGCAATCAAGACAACCCTGGATGTGAAACCCACACATTCCTCACAGGAAAGCTTCCTTATCTGGTCCCAGGAAACAGGATATAAATCTTTCCAGACGTGTTTGCCCTTTCAGGTTAAATAAGTGACCCAACAGGAGGTTGACTAAACCTCTGACTCTTCACGATTGGTCAATTCGGAGAACAGAGACAGAGTTTTATTACCTTTCAAACTGACTCCATTTGCTGACCATCTAAATAAACATTAACGTCTCAACCCAGATCTCCCATTTGAGATTTAGTGTCTTAAAGTGTGTGAACATACGGACCCTAGGAAAAGGGGGGACACTGACCTCCAGACCTCGGTCGTAAAACCCTGCTCGACCATACACTGATAAAGACTGCATTCCTTTGGTGAAAGAATACAAATGACTGATCATGACATCTTATGCATTCAGCAATGTACTAATCTGTCTAATCATGAAATTTGTGTTAAAATGAGATGTTTCCCGTTTTTCTATGTGCTTCAGAAGCCAAGTTATCTTATCTGACAGAATAAATCCTTATTCTTTAGTTCTTTAGACCAACAGATTTTCAGACTGTTTCATGAACTTTTAAGAGTTAAATTTATCGACTATGAATCATAACTTAACTCTAGGTAACAGAAACAGTTTAGAAATGTTTGGTTTATATTGTAGATGTTTATTTAGTATTTTTAACCATTAGGTGGTTATAATGTCATTGAATAATCTGAATGTGAGTATTTAGAATCCATTATTAATCATGATGAAGTTCATTCACATGTATTTACTCTTTTGTTGTTCACAGTTTCCATGTGTTACTATCTGTTTCATTTCAGAGTAATTTAGCATGTTTAATGTGATACTTAAAACATAATGAGAATGTCTGATGTGATCCTACACTTCATTCATATGTGTTTAGTGTCAAATTATTTATCATGAAACCAAGCATTCAATGATATTAATCATAGTGAGTGAGTATCAGATCTGACTCTTTTACCAGCCAAAAGTATAAGTTAGATCAAATAATCAGAGATTCCACGACCCCTCCTCTGTCTCACACACACGCCGGAGCCACTCCCAGTGTGAGAAGATAAAACCAGTGAAGTCGGGTTGCTCACTCTTCTTGTTCACTCTTATTCCTCTTATGCTTCTCTCTTCTGCTGACTCGCTTGTCCCCGGCTCTTATGCCCCTTCTCTTCTGCCCACACCCTTCTGTGGTGCGTTTCTTTGTTCTCTCTTAGAACTTTTCCTTAGTCTTCTAAGTTTTACGCCACGTGTTGATTCACGTTGATTTTTCTTTAACATCGTCTTAGTTCAAGTTTTGAAACTTCAACTTTTTGTGCACATAGCAATTCAAGATTAAGCCTTTGATTGATTTTCTTTAATTTCGCGAAGCCATTTTTGAAAGTTTTCTCTGCTCTTCGAGCCTCGTTTTTCTGAGTTTTCTGCGTGATTTCAAAGTCACCTCCGAACGCAATCCAACAGGCCCGGGTCATCCTCTGTGCCAGAGTTTTTGAGTGAGACTAAAGAAGTACCCAAACGAGCATCCACAGGATCCACAGGCGCTGGTTTTTGCTTCGGGCCTGAGTGCTGCAACTCCTGGCTCATCCTTCGGCTGACTTCAGTCGTCTTCTGAGCTGAACCGCTCGAACCGCCAGTAGCCCGGACCTTCGGAACCTGCTCCATCTTCTCCAAGGACCAGTCTCACTTAAGTATGCAAACCTCCAGAGCTCTAAAGAGGGCTGGTGCTGTCTCCTGCGTTCAACTCAGATATCCTCTTATTCTGGTAATCTTAGATTCCTCCAAATCCACATCCGAGTTTATCTCGACACTAAAGTTAGTGTAGGTTAATATGTTAGCGCATATTCACTCACTATCATTAACTTTAGTGCTCCTAGCCTGACTCAGAATCTTGATTTATTCACCTATTATTATTTATCTTCATTATCTTATCATCATTTATTGCATGTGTGTTGTACCATCATTTATCCTGTAATAAACAGATAATTATTTTTCTAAGTTCGTGTCTGTTAGTGTTCTTCCAGAAGTGGAGTCCCTGAAATTAGAATTTCGACTTAAGATATGAGACTGATTAATTAAGACTGATTAATTAAGACTGATTAATTAAAACTGACTTGATGTTTGATTTCTGAATTAAACTTTTGTTTTCTTTATTTTCCCACCATTAAGGGTGGGTGGTGCCCCTTTCAACGAGTGCATAAATGTCATAATTTGAGATTATTAATCTTCAGACATTTATTATAAATTCCAATCGCCAAGTATTATTTTGGTGCGGCCTTGTGAGGCTCATTTCAAATCGCTACATATATTTTGGTGCGACCGTATGAGGCTCATTTCAAATCACTACATATATTTTGGTGCCCCGTGTGAGGCTCATTTCAAATCACTACGTATATTTTGGTGCCCCTGCGTGAGGCGTTTCAAACAAAACTTCTGGATACTAACAGACAACCTAAAACTTAGCCTTCCAAATTGATGAGAGAAACTTATTTCCAGGCTATTTTAGACTTGATCACAATCAATGCTATGCTTGCTGAAGTTGCTTGACTAAGTTCTGATGTTTCCTGATCTATGCATAAAACCTTTATGCTCTGTGTTTCACACACTTTTGTACTACATGCCTGTAGTCTGTGTTTGAGCTGGACAGCGTGAAATGTTGTTCTGAGTAGCAGTGAGACTGACTCCTCTGCTCTGTCTAGACTGTCCAATATTTAAGTGCACGATTGTTGCGTCACCATACGCTTGTATTTAAGGCCTTTGGCTGAACCCAGTGTTCGCGATGCTCCGAGCTGTGGTTTCAAGCCCCTGAAGTCTCTGTAGTCTGCTACGAGGTTCTAGTAACTATATGGGATTCAGATTTCCTCCTTTCCCCTGACAGATTAGCTACCTGTCACAGGAAACCACTGTAACAGTGGGAGGTTGTTGTTTGATTGAATTGAGACAAAATTTGTGTTCACAAATCGCCGCATTTGTGATTTTTAAGTTTGCAGTTGAATCTGCTGTTGAGGGATTTGTCACTTTGATTCTTGTCTCTATAGTCTGCTATGAAGTTCTAGTAACTATATGGGATTTAGATTTCCTCCTTTCCCCTGACAGATAAGCTATCTGTCACAGGAAACCACTGTAACAGTGGGAGGTTGTTGTTTGAATGAATTCAGACAAAATCCGTGATCACGAATCGCCGCATTTGTGATTTTAAAGTCTGCAGTTGAATCTGCTGTTTAAGGATTTGTCACTTTGATTCTTGTTCCTGTAAATGATTCTATTGAACCAATCTGCCTGAGCAGATGGTGGAAAGTTCTATGTTTGAGGGTGCAGACGCAGCCTGCTGTGAAATGTTAACCCTTTGTTGTCAGTGGAGAGACTGACCATGTGGCCTTAAGCAGATAAGGCCCTTCAAGGAGGCAGAGCCTAAAGGCCCCTTCCTGCAGACTTCCCAAGTCCTCACAGCCACAAGAGGCTAGTTGGATGACTGTTATCTCTTTCCTCTTCTTCTCCACTAGTGTTGAGCTTGTGCAGTTCTCCCAACTCCATACTGCCCCACATGGTTGCTTTTGGTATTGAGCTAACACTTATCTGCCTGCAGTATCAGCCAGCTGTACCGCCTCTCTGTAGTCAGTGCGTAACACTCTACAGACATAATTCAAGTGATTGACTTGGTTGATGAAGTTTGATGTGCTTATTCTAAATCATTGATCATTGATTTTTGATTTTTATCTTTGTTATAAGAGCCTCCATAATGTATTGATAAAGTAACTCCTTGAATCAATCACCTGATCTTGTTGTTACTTATCACATCATTGAGCAGTTTTACTGTTCCCTATAATACATGAATGTATTAACCCTCCTCATAAGATTGATTAATTAATTAATGAACAAATTAATTAATATTTGAAATTTCTTTTAACACTCCAGATGGATTTGGTAGTTGAACCTTTGGATTTATTGCAATTTGTGAATTAATTTCAGAGTTAATTCCTTAAATTGACAATTTCATCGATTTTTCCCAATTCATCCAACTGCACCAGGCAGTTTATTTAAGCTTTGCTGATCTCTGCAACACGGAGACAAACTGAACCCTTTATTCAATGGTTCTGTATCTGATGTTAAATTTAATTTAACATCATTTCATTGTTTTTCAATTTTGATTGAAATGAATTTAACTTTATGTTATTTTTCTCTCCATTAGAGATCTACTCAGATAGGCTCTTCCTCTTTATCAAGCACTGATAAATTAAGTCGATTAACCCACTTAATTTGATATTGTGCTTCTTCCTTTCATTTTAAGTCAACTCAAACTCATCAACCAACCAGCTGCACCTCTTTACCAAAACCAAACATGCCTAACACAAAAGAGTCCAGCCAGGGAGACCCCCTGAGGGACATACACACAGTGTTGGCAAACTTGACTAGTCAGCTGATACCTCAGTACATGACTAAGATTCAAAAGGCCAAACCCTCCAATCCGGAGGATGAAATGGCTGACCTACTGGAAACAGCCTTAACCACGACACTTCGTGACAAAGAGCTCACTAGATGCATGTCTGTCGTGATGTCTTCTCAGCTTGAGTATAAAGACTACTTGCTGGAATGCGCTTTAGCAAAGATAAAGGCGCAAAAAGACGAAAACAGCGCTCTGAAAAAGACGCTAGAAGAGACTAAGAAGTCTCTAAGTGTTTTAGGAAAACACAGTGTCAGATGTGAAGCGTCAAAGCTTCCCTCACTGATAAGTCATGAAGAAAATCTTGATCTTAAAGACAAGATTGAAAGACTTAATGAAACCCTTTACAAAAAGGAGAAAGAACTTGATGACACGAATAAGCAGCTTGCTAAGACCACAGAGGATCTGATACAGTCAGAATCCCTGCTAGAGCAAGCAACAGAAGATGTAAAAGCTTTGAAAGCACTGGTCAAAGTGCGTGCTGAAGCTCTTGAAGTTAAGGAGAAGCAAACTTCTACCTTACAGCACCAGCTCCAGATTGCTCAAAGACAGTTAATTCTTCGTCAAGAACGGCAAGAAAAGACAGACAAAGAACTTGAAGATGCCAAAAGAGAGTTACGATGCTCCCTCCAGTCAGGTCGAGCCCAAAGAGAACGCATGGAGCAAACGTTTCTTGAAGAAATGATAGGTGATCAGCCTCCTGAGAGAGCGCCATCACTTCCTTCCAAACCAACTCTTAAGTATCTCTCTCAGCATCATGACAGGACCCTGCTTGACCCTGAGAGGTCATCCTTAAACCAAGAGTCCTACTCTCCTCCTCATGATGGCTTCTTACCATTTCCCTCAGACAGGGATCTTGACAAAATTGCTCGTATCATAGCACGCTTTGAACCTGAGCACCAAGGTGCTATTGACACCTGCACCTACTTGAAAGACATTGACTTTTACCTGAGGAAATTTCCAGGTGCAACCATTGATGACAAAATCTACCTTATTAAGGCGACGTCAAGTCGAGAGGTTAGCAGTTTCCTTGAACGACAGCCTTATTATGTCAGAAATAATTATGACTTGCTCTGCCAAGCATTAATCGAAGAGTTTTCTGATCATTTGACCCAGACAGGCCTTTCTGCTGCTCTGTCTATTAAACAAGGGAGATCAGAACCTCCCCAACAGTATTACAACCGCTTACGCGAAGCTTACTTTGGTTTCCGAAATGAACCAGAAATGGAGGAGGACTTGAACTTCAAAACGCTGTTCGTCCAGAACCTCCACCCTACCACCAGTCATCACCTTGGCGTCTTAGCTTGTCCAAACACTTTGACTAGCCGACAGCTTCGTGAACTTGCTGTAAAAGGTTTTGCCAAACAACGACAAACTTTGGCTAAGAAAGCAGAGCCCGTTACTCTCTTGGCTATGGAGACAAAATCACTGCCCATGGAGCTGAACGAAGCTTCAGACTGTGTATTTTCAGGCTCCGATAAGCCTCCAAATGAGTGGTTAACCAGGCCTCCAAAACCTTTTCGACCTCAACACACTCACAAAGGTCAAAGTTACACACCAAGGCCCAGGTCTGACACAGACCAATGCCCGGTAAACTTTGAGACCAACTGTTGTTATTCAGACTCCCGTCACGGTGGGTTTTATCCCAGACAAAGGAAAAACCATCAACACCGCCAAAGGGGGGTGAATGACTGGCAGAATCAGAGTAAATTACATTCTCAGAAACGACGATCTTATTATCCACCTCAATCGGTTTCATCCACTTTGAAGGTGAATAAACATGACTACTCAGCTAACCACTGAGATTAACACTGTGGAGTCATGAAGGTGTGAGTCCTGTGAAAGCAGAAGTCACCTAGCCAAAGCTAAATGACTCCAATAAGATATCCAAATGCTGTGGTGATACATTGATGACTGCAATACCAGTTGCTGCTTTCTTTGTTAGCATTTGTCTCTCCTCTGTCAATATGGTCAGCTTGTCAGCTGTCAAATATCTCATCAACAGATTAAAAGCTGAAATTTCTGTCATTAAGACTCAGATTGACAAATTTCAGACTCAACAGCAGATAATTAGTCAAACCGGTAAGAGCATCATCCCCAAGTTTAACAGACAAAGTTTAAGAGAAACTCTGTGCAGTAAACTTTTGATGTTTGTGATTCAGGTTGACTATGCTCATACACAGATGATTAAACATGTCTATAGCAGACATTTCTTTTCCACCTAAGTCTTAACCATTTTTGAAACTGAAATTGAACTTTCAGACTTCTCCAGCAAGCATGGAAAACAGCTATATCTTTAGATCCAGTTAGCATTCAGACTAAATAGTGCTTTCCTAAATCTCATTAATACTGAAAATTAGGAGATTTTCTTTCACATTCGTCTACCAATAGTTAACTGAGAAAAGTCTAACAACAAGACTATTTTATTTGATAGCTTAATGCATGCTTAATTTTATCTCAAAGCAGTACTAGTGATTCACATAGTGATGACGAGACGCATCAGTCCTATTTGCATACACCTGCTGCTGCTTCATGGTTGTCTACTCGTCGTCCCGATGCTCCATGGACAGGACCACCGTGACGAAGGGGGGACTGTAGCAATCAAGACAACCCTGGATGTGAAACCCACACATTCCTCACAGGAAAGCTTCCTTATCTGGTCCCAGGAAACAGGATATAAATCTTTCCAGACGTGTTTGCCCTTTCAGGTTAAATAAGTGACCCAACAGGAGGTTGACTAAACCTCTGACTCTTCACGATTGGTCAATTCGGAGAACAGAGACAGAGTTTTATTACCTTTCAAACTGACTCCATTTGCTGACCATCTAAATAAACATTAACGTCTCAACCCAGATCTCCCATTTGAGATTTAGTGTCTTAAAGTGTGTGAACATACGGACCCTAGGAAAAGGGGGGACACTGACCTCCAGACCTCGGTCGTAAAACCCTGCTCGACCATACACTGATAAAGACTGCATTCCTTTGGTGAAAGAATACAAATGACTGATCATGACATCTTATGCATTCAGCAATGTACTAATCTGTCTAATCATGAAATTTGTGTTAAAATGAGATGTTTCCCGTTTTTCTATGTGCTTCAGAAGCCAAGTTATCTTATCTGACAGAATAAATCCTTATTCTTTAGTTCTTTAGACCAACAGATTTTCAGACTGTTTCATGAACTTTTAAGAGTTAAATTTATCGACTATGAATCATAACTTAACTCTAGGTAACAGAAACAGTTTAGAAATGTTTGGTTTATATTGTAGATGTTTATTTAGTATTTTTAACCATTAGGTGGTTATAATGTCATTGAATAATCTGAATGTGAGTATTTAGAATCCATTATTAATCATGATGAAGTTCATTCACATGTATTTACTCTTTTGTTGTTCACAGTTTCCATGTGTTACTATCTGTTTCATTTCAGAGTAATTTAGCATGTTTAATGTGATACTTAAAACATAATGAGAATGTCTGATGTGATCCTACACTTCATTCATATGTGTTTAGTGTCAAATTATTTATCATGAAACCAAGCATTCAATGATATTAATCATAGTGAGTGAGTATCAGATCTGACTCTTTTACCAGCCAAAAGTATAAGTTAGATCAAATAATCAGAGATTCCACGACCCCTCCTCTGTCTCACACACACGCCGGAGCCACTCCCAGTGTGAGAAGATAAAACCAGTGAAGTCGGGTTGCTCACTCTTCTTGTTCACTCTTATTCCTCTTATGCTTCTCTCTTCTGCTGACTCGCTTGTCCCCGGCTCTTATGCCCCTTCTCTTCTGCCCACACCCTTCTGTGGTGCGTTTCTTTGTTCTCTCTTAGAACTTTTCCTTAGTCTTCTAAGTTTTACGCCACGTGTTGATTCACGTTGATTTTTCTTTAACATCGTCTTAGTTCAAGTTTTGAAACTTCAACTTTTTGTGCACATAGCAATTCAAGATTAAGCCTTTGATTGATTTTCTTTAATTTCGCGAAGCCATTTTTGAAAGTTTTCTCTGCTCTTCGAGCCTCGTTTTTCTGAGTTTTCTGCGTGATTTCAAAGTCACCTCCGAACGCAATCCAACAGGCCCGGGTCATCCTCTGTGCCAGAGTTTTTGAGTGAGACTAAAGAAGTACCCAAACGAGCATCCACAGGATCCACAGGCGCTGGTTTTTGCTTCGGGCCTGAGTGCTGCAACTCCTGGCTCATCCTTCGGCTGACTTCAGTCGTCTTCTGAGCTGAACCGCTCGAACCGCCAGTAGCCCGGACCTTCGGAACCTGCTCCATCTTCTCCAAGGACCAGTCTCACTTAAGTATGCAAACCTCCAGAGCTCTAAAGAGGGCTGGTGCTGTCTCCTGCGTTCAACTCAGATATCCTCTTATTCTGGTAATCTTAGATTCCTCCAAATCCACATCCGAGTTTATCTCGACACTAAAGTTAGTGTAGGTTAATATGTTAGCGCATATTCACTCACTATCATTAACTTTAGTGCTCCTAGCCTGACTCAGAATCTTGATTTATTCACCTATTATTATTTATCTTCATTATCTTATCATCATTTATTGCATGTGTGTTGTACCATCATTTATCCTGTAATAAACAGATAATTATTTTTCTAAGTTCGTGTCTGTTAGTGTTCTTCCAGAAGTGGAGTCCCTGAAATTAGAATTTCGACTTAAGATATGAGACTGATTAATTAAGACTGATTAATTAAGACTGATTAATTAAAACTGACTTGATGTTTGATTTCTGAATTAAACTTTTGTTTTCTTTATTTTCCCACCATTAAGGGTGGGTGGTGCCCCTTTCAACGAGTGCATAAATGTCATAATTTGAGATTATTAATCTTCAGACATTTATTATAAATTCCAATCGCCAAGTATTATTTTGGTGCGGCCTTGTGAGGCTCATTTCAAATCGCTACATATATTTTGGTGCGACCGTATGAGGCTCATTTCAAATCACTACATTCTCATCTCATAGATCAAAAAAAAAAAAAAGAAAAGAGGAGTAGTCTTATCAAACTCTTCATACATTCAAAACCTAAATGGCCAGAGAATCAAAAATGTACATGGAACATAATGATAATGGAACAGCTGACCCCGCAATTTTGTGGGATGCAGCAAAAGCATTTTTTTGGAGGCAAAAACTACTGCTAAGAGTACTATGCTAAGGAGATAAAAGCTAAAAGGCTATCAGACTTGCACGAACAGTTAAAAACCTAAAGCAACTTCATTGAACAACAACTCTACTTTACATGAACAAATAAGGCTGGTTAAACAGGAAATTGATAAAATTCTTGGTGAAGATATTGAAAAAATGCTGTGGTTCATGAAACAACAATACTATGAGGCAGGGCTTAAAACATCAAAGTTGATGAACATCAAAGAAAGAGCGGGCTGAAAATACAATCTATAAAATCAAGGATCCAATAAGAAATAAGATGACGACAAAGGTAAAGGAAATCCAGAATGCATTTGAAAAATACTACTCATTATTATAACACAACCAGGAAAAGGAGAAAGACTAACAAATCGAAAGTTCCTCTCTTCATGAAATGTAAATGTAAAGATCAAAATGACAAACTAATCCGTAAAATCTTAACTGAAGAGATTCATTATGAAATTTCAAACATTCACGCCAATAAATCACCATCCCTCCAGACAGTGTTGTAGTGCTTGAGTCCAGGAAGAAGAAGACAAGCCTTATTGTTATATAAGGTTCGTAAGAACTTTATTGTTATAAATAACAATACCGCGGTAGGTAAATGGTAATACCATAATAATTGCAGTACTGGGGTAGAACCCAGATATTACCATGCAACTACCCCAGTACTACCCTGCAATTACCCCAGTATTACCATGCAACTACCCCGGCTCATCCCCAGTGGCTTTGAGGCTCCTTCCCTGCTGGTCCCCAGCTCTCTTCCCATGGCCCACCGGCTCTCCCCTGGCCGGCCCCCGGCTCATCCTCAGGGACCTAGCTGCTCTCTCCCCTTCGGCCCATGGCTCATCCTCCGCGGCCTTACGCCAACCCCACCCCAATGTATTATGGGGTTTAATCATGATATTGCATCGTTTAACTCCTGTCTGTGTGATCTACACGGACAGGAGTTACCAGAATATAATTCCATATATAACAAATCATGCAATGTAAGGCTCCTCTACTGCATTATTTTCAGCCCCAATTTTATGGAAATAAACAGTCATGAATGAAGAGCCTGAAACATTGTGTTTGAAATGATAAAATATATGCTAAACCATCCAAATTGTACAGGTTTAGCAGCAGTACAACATGTACGGTGGTACTGCCATTGATATGTTACTAACCTTCAATTACCTCAGAATTACCCTACAATTACTGTGGTACTGCAAATACCACGGTACTACACTGCAATTACCATGGTATTACCATGCAAATAACCCAGTATTACCCTGCAGTTACCTGGGTACTACCCCGATATTACCATGCAACTACCCTGGTACTACCTTGCAGTCACCCCGGTATGACCCTGGTATTATCCTGCATCTACCCCAGTACTACCCTGCAGTTACCATGGTACTACCATGCAGTTACCATGGTACTACCCAGGTATTACCCTGCAGTTACCCCGGCACTACCCCACTTTTACCCTGCAGTTACCCTGGTACTATCCTGGTATTATCCTGCAGTTACCCCGGTACTACCCTGATATTACCATGCAGCTACCCTGGTACTACCCTGTAGTTACCCTGATACTACACAGGTATTACCCTGATTTAACCACGCAACTACCCTGGTACTACCCTGCAATTACCCCGGTACCACCCAAGTATTACCAAGCTGGATTATAAAGTGTTACAATTCTTTCGATTGGACATTAAATAATGCAGTAATACCGTCATCTTGGAAAGATGCTATGATATCTGTTATACCAAAAGAGGGTCAAATACAAGGAATACTGTGATTCCTATCAACCAATCTCCATCCAAATGTTTAGAACAGTTTTTACCTAGATTAATTCATGGGGACCAAACCGAATTCATCAAGGGTAGACTAACACAAGATAACTTCAGACAAACATTTAAAGGTCCCATGGCATTCCAATTTCACACAACTTAAAATAGTCCCCTGGTGTGTTAAAAGCATGTCTGTGACGTCCTTCGGTCAAAATTCGATTTGGATCAATTATTTTAGTGCTCTTTTTATCAGCTAAAAATAGCTCCGCTCAAAATCCTCCGTTTTGGGCCATGTCTCTTTAATGAAATGAGCTGCACCTAAGCCACGTCCACTTTACACCCATCTCTCTGGAAGGGGCTGTGGCTGTGCTCTGATAGCCATGTGCTAATGTTTACACTGGCTCGGTCATGGCTGCAAGAAGATTGCTCGTACAACCCTACCAGTTTGAGCCAGAGTCTGACCCAGAGGGAGAGGCTCCGGAAGAAACTCTTAGCCGCGTTCAGACCAAACGTGACTTGAAGTGACCTAGTCGACACATCCTATGTATTATTCAAAGCCGCCAGGAGGGTCACGCTTAAGGAGGAAGATATGAATGTAGAAATACAACCAGAGCTCTGCTACAATGTAAGATTTTGGTGCTCTAAAACTTCTCTGAAGCCTTTACTAATTAATAGGATGGCCGACCGTCCAGCATTAGTCGGGACGTCCCGTATTTGAGCCAAAAGAGGCGTGTCGCCGCACGGGTAAATGCTAAAGCTACATGCTGCTCGGGAGGAGGATTTTGTCCCCCGCCGGCGGAGTTGTCGGGGAAGAAGCAAGCGGCTAAAATATGGGAGGATCCGGTAAACCGGCGCAGATCCGGTGTGTTTATCAAAGCGTGGTGGCCTTGCTGAGGTACCGGGGGGATTTTAGGCTGAACAGTAAGTCAAAATAAAACGTTCATACTTACAGATGCCACGTTTGTAGTAGCATCACGGATAGTTGGTCCGGATTCATTCTTTATTTTCAGACATCTAGCAAATCAAGCGTTGAACTGTCCCTCGTTGATAAAACAGTCCGAAGTGAAATGGTGCGCAAATACGTAGAGATATTTTGGAAGTGCCGCAGGTACATTCCCATTATAAATAAAATCCACCCATTGAGTCCTCAAATCCTCCAACGAAGGAGTTTTCAAAAGAGTTTTGTGCTCGTTTGTGCAGCCAACAACAGAGCAAACGCTGCCTCTTTTTCAGATCGTACTTTCGCCATGGTTCTAACTGGAGCAATGCGAGTAAGTAGCCGGGAATAACGGCGCTGTTTTGATAATTTTTTGGGCAAGGCAGTGGGCGGTTCCATGGGCAGTACCATCAACCCACCAGCACTGACATGACGTCATGTCAGTGGAGTTTTCAGAACGGCCGGCTCTGAGCACACAGTTCCTAAATACGGAGATCTAAAAATGACCCCCCCCCCCCCCGTTAACAAACTCCGTTTTTCATGCCATGGCCCCTTTAATTTAGTAGAAAAAAACAGTGTCAAAATCAAAATCTTCTCTATAGAGTAAAAATTAACTGACACTTGATGGATAGAATTCAGCTATATTGAGGCACACCACAGGGGTGCTGCCTTAACCCATCCCTGTTTGCTATCTATTTGGAACCCTCAGCCCAAAAAAATTAGACAAAACCAGGATTTAAAAGGTGTTAATATGGCAGATGAGTTTCATTTAATAGGCCTTGTCTGTCACCGAAACAGGGGTGAGGTTGGAGCTTGGAAGACTTTGCCCTGGGAAGGCAGCTAGCTCAGATGGTGTGTGTCCAAGGCTGCTTAGAGACTGTGCTGCAGAACTGTGTCAACCTCTCCACAGAATCTTCAACCTGAGTCTACAGCTGGGGCGGATACCTGCTCTGTGGAAAACATCCTGCATTGTGCCAGTACCAAAAACAAAATGTTCTGCTGAACTCTATGACTTGAATAGACTTGAATGACTTGAACACATCATGAAACCCCTGGAGCGGCTGATTCTACGCCTTCTGAGGTCTGAGGTCAAAGACAAACTGGGTTCCCAGCAGTTTGCATACAATACACCGTGCCCTGCCTCATCTGGAGGAACCTGGGGTTTATGTGAGGATCATGTTCTTCGACTTTTCAAGTGCATTCAACACCATCCAACCCAACATACTCAAAGACAAGCTCAAAGAGATGGGAGTGAATCCTTCCTGTGCCTTTTGGATCACAGATTACCCGACAGGAAGGCCACGGTTTGTCAGGCAAGGACAGGCTGTGTTTCTGGGACATTGATGAGCAGTACAGGGGCTCCACAAGGAACAGTCCTGGCACCATTCTTGTTCACACTGTATACATCAGACTTCAAATACAGCACTGAGTCCTGCCACATCCAGAAATACTCAGCTGACACTGCTATTGTGGCATGTATCAGAAATGAACAAGAAGCTGAATACAGAGATCTGGTATGAGCCTTCAGTCACTGGAGTCACAAAAACTGCCTCCTCCTCAACACCTCAAAGACAAAAGAAATGATCATAGACTTGCGCAGATCCAAACCCCCTCTTCAGCCAGTGAACACTTGTGGAGTGGACATCGAAGTGGTGACATCATATAAATATCTAGGTCTACATCTGGAGAATAAGTTGGATTGGTCAAAAAATATAGACTTCATCTACAGAAAGGGGCAGAGCCGCCTCTTTTGCCTGAGAAGACTCTGATCAATAGACATCTGCAGTAAGATGCTGCAGATGTTTTATCAGTCTGTGGTGTCTACAGTGTTCTGCGCTGCAGTCTGCTGGGGAGGAAGCATCAAACACAAACATGCAAGATGTCTGAGCAAGCTGTTGAAAAAGGCTCGCTCTGTGGTTGGATTCAAGTTGGGCTCAGTGGAGGATGTAGTGGAGAGATGTACACTGAGGAAGGTGGAGACTATTCCAAAGAACATGGATCACCCACTTCACAACACCTTGATGGGCCAAAGGACCAATGGTGGTGGACAGCTCCTCTCTCTTCGCTGCAGGACAGAAAGATTCAGAAGATCTTTTGTACCCACAGCCATCAGACTTTACAACTCTTCTGTAAATAGTAGATAACTTTTTGACACATGACAACTGAGACTACAGACAATTGAATTTCCCTTTGGAGATAAAATTAAGTTATTCTTATTTTCTGGTCATGTGTAAAGAAACAACCTTTCTGGCATGAAGCAAATTAGACTCTGGGAAAAATCCTGCACTATACTATTCAAAGAGATCCCAAAATTATGTATTTGGGGGTCATACCTGAGAAAGTAGTAGAACAAGAGGATGTTTATTTAAGATCTTTATTATTGCATCTAGAAAAGTCATCACAAGGAGTTGGATGAAAACTGATCGCCTACTACTTGGACATAGGATGGAAAATATGAATGGAATTTACACAGTGGAAAGACTAACTTTCCACTTGAGGCTGAAAATGTCTATCTTTCATCAAAAATGAAAGAAATGGACAGCATTTAGGGAGCCTAAAGCTAAATAAACAGACTATCGGGACCTCTTTGTTAACCACTTGAAAATTAAGTAGTAAGGGCAGCCCCTTGTGTTCTTCTGTTCTCTTTTTTGTTCTCTCTTTCTCTTTGAATAAAGGAAAAAAACAAATGTCTTGAACTGTGCTGGAAAATATAGTTTAAAAAAAAAAAAGATGAATGAGGTATGAAATGTTTGTTGTTTGGTAACAAACATTTGCATTTATTTGCATTCCAACTGCGAAAATACCTTTCCAAATGGTCAAACAACAAATTTCGTCCCGTCAAATCTTTTTTTTTTTTTTTTTGTGCGTTAGAAAGCAATTGAACAATGAATAACATATTCATGAAGAAAACTTGCCAAAACATGTACGAAAGTACACTAAACAGAGAACTACTGAAAAATAACACTTCTTTTACATTACCAGCAACATGTCTGAACAGTTTCTTCACTATGAACAGCTTTTAGGCAAGTGAGCTTTGGTAAAATGTTACAATCTGAGGCAATTTTACTCCTTCAGGCTTGTGGCAACCCCTGCTTGGGGGCTTCTTTGTTTTAGTGGCTTTCAGGGTAGTTTGCTGTCGCTGCAGTACACTGTGTGCACAATTATTAGGCAAGTTGTATTTTTGAGGATAAATTTTATTTTTGAACAACTGCAGTGCTCTCGGTCAATCCAAAATGTTAATAAACCTCAAACCTTAATATTTAAGGGAGTAAAAGTGAGATTTTGGCTTCCTTAGGAGAATATCTATGTGTGCACAATTATTGGGGACAGCTATTAGTGTGCAGAATTATTATGCAACTAAATTAAAAATGAAAAATTTTCCATCTCACTTGTTTATTTTCACTAGTTAAAAAAAAAATCAGTGACCAATGTAACTACCCTTCTTTTCAATAACAGTCATTAGCCTTCCATTCATGGAGTCTTTCAGTTTCTTGATCTGTTGACAATCAACTTTTTGTGTTGCAGCAACCAAAGCCTCCCAGACACTGTTCCAGACACTGTTCAGAGAGGTGTACTGTCTTCCTTTACTGTAAATTTCCCGTTTAAGAAGGGCCCACAAGTTCTCAACAGGGTTTAGGTCAGGTGAAGAAGGAGGCCACGTCATTATTCTTTTGTTTTTAAGGCCTTTACTGGTGAGCCGCATAGTGGAGTACTTTGTTGCATGCAATGGAGCATTGTCCTGCATAAAAATCATGGTTTTCTTGAAAGATGCAGACTTTTGCCTGTACCACTGCTTGAAGAAAGTGTCTTCTAAAAACTGGCATTCATTTGGGAGTTGATTTTAAGTCCATCTTTAACCCAAAAGGTCCAGCTAGCTCATCTTTAATAATACCAGCCCATACCAGTACCCCGCCTCCACCTTGCTGGTGTCTGATTCGAAGTGGAGCTCTGTGCCCATTACTGATCCAGCCATGGGTCCATCCATCTGGTCCGTCAAGAGTCACTCTCATCCCATCAGTCCATAAAACCTTTGAAAAATCTCTCTTCAGATATTTCTTGGCCCAGTCTTGACGTTTCAACTTGTGTCTTGTTCAGTGGTGGTCGGGTTTCATCTTCCTTACTTTGTCTCTGAGCACTGATCATCTTGTACTTCTGGGCACTCCAGGTAGGTTGCAGTTCTGGAATATGACAGCACCGGAAGATAAGCGGTTCCTGGTACCTTTACGTTTGAGTCTTCTCAAATCTTTGGCAGTTAATTTGCGTCTTTTTTTCTTAACACATTTCTTGCGACCCTGTTGACTATTTGCATCAAAATGTTTGCTGGTTCTGTGATCACACCCAAATATCTAAGCAATTTCAAGAGTGCTGCATCCCTCTGAAAGACTTTTTACAATTTTTGACTTTTCAGAGTCATTTAAATCTCTTTTTCACTAACATTCGGACCATTCACTAACATGATGGTTTGCCAGAACAGAGAACAGGTAGAGGTACCACCTCATGTGGCGCTTGCTTCTTGAGACACATGCATCAAGGAGGTTTATGCCCTCCATGAATGTGTGCTCTTTTCAGTCGTGTGGACTGCTGACCTCCACAAATGTTTTGTGTGATTTGCTCCAGCATCAAGCTTTGTCTTGAGCATCAGTGGCACAGTAGGTTGAGATCAAGGTGACAGATTTGTTATCGTACCACTTCACAATGCCCCCCCCCCCCCCCCCCGGCATCAATGGATCCTCTGCCTCTCTTTTCTTATCTTCAATTTGACAACCAGTGTTCCTACAAAATGAGCACTAGTGGCACTAAAAAGGTTGTCTGCAAATCAACTGACTCTGACCTACATTGAAAGTTTCTCAACATATATATATATTGATTAGTTTAATGAATTTCATGTTTTTTTGTTTTTTTTTTAATATTTTTGAATATTGTTTGACTTCATCTTCAGAAAATATATTGATTAAAAACTATTGAGTGGGCTTAGGCAATTGAGAAATTGTCAAGCTTTTTGTTTTGATTGTGACAAATGCATCACATGGGATTTTTTATTTTTATTTTAATAAAGTATTATACCACTTCACTTTTTCCACATTTTGTTATGTTACAGCCTTATTCCAAACTGGATTAAATTCCTTTTTTCCCCTCAAAAATTCTATACAAATAACCCAATAATGACAAGGCAAAAAAGTTTTTTTAGAACATTTTGCAAATTTATTAAAAATAAGACACTCAAATGTTGCATATACATAAGTATTCACACCCTTTGCTATCAAACTCAAAATTGAGCTCAGGTGCACCCTGTTTCCACTGATCAGCCTTGAAATGTTCCTCCAACTTGATTGCAGTCCACCTGTGGCAAATTCAGCTGATTGGACATGATTTGGGCTTGAGAAGATGTGCAAGGAAGAATGGGGAAAAACTCCCCAAATCCCAGTGTGCCAAGCTTGTTGCATCATACACAAGAAGACTGGAGGCTGTAATTGCTGCCAAGGGTGCTTCGACCAAGTATTGAGTAAAGGGTGTGAATAGTTATATATATGCAACATTTGAGTGTTCTTATTTTTAATAAATTTGCAAAATGTTCTAAAAAAAGTTTTTCACTTTGTCATTATGGGATATTTTGTGTAGAATTTTTGAGGGAAAAAGGGAATTTAATCCATTTTGGAATAAGGCTGTAACATAACAAAATGTGGAAAAAGTAAAGTGGTATGAATACTTGCGGATGCACTGTATATCAAGTTTTACCCTAAAAATGTATTATGAACAGATCGTATGTATGAAACAACATGTTGTGTTAACAAAATCATCATTGGGGTTGAAACATACTTTTGACACACAAACAAAGCTTTTCAAAAGGAGCTGGATTTTTTTAAACAACTTTATTAAAGGAGTTTTCATTTCATTAGAAAGTTATTGTATTGAAAAGAAACCATCATCACAACAATTCTTTCACATTAGCCCTCAGATGTGTTCTGTCTCGGGAGGAGGACGATGACCAGGGAATCAAGACTACGAGGAGGACTCTCCTGGAGGCTGTGGAGAAGCACTTTGCTAACGTCAAAACTGAGCCACTCTTCTACATTGCCACTACACTAGATCCCAGATACAAAGATTGGCAAGTGTAGTAAAATTAAAATGTACCTTTTCTACATCATGCTCAGATAAAGTCAAGTCATCACCAGACACCCGTATTAGGCCAATTTATTTTTTATTTCCCTTTTAATCTGAATTTGGCTCTATGGTTAGATTTTTAATTGTTTATTAATTGAGTACATGTGTAAGGCAGTTGCTTAGCTGGAAAGCTGTGCTATGTGTTGTCCCTTATCTTATGTTGTTGTTCTGAATTGTGTGTTACATTTATCTATTTTTAGCTTCTTCACAAAGTCTGCTAACCTGATGCTTGCAAAGGAACACCTCATCCAGGAAGTGGCAAAGATAGAGAGAACGAAGGTTGCCAGTGCAGTCCAAAAGGAAGCAGGGGCTTCAGCAGACCTAATGAGCAAGGCACCATGGCGTAAATCATGCAGCAGCCTGGAATTCTACTAGAGAGGCAGTCACAGGTCCGGTCCGTGAAGAGCAAATCAGCAGAGGTGCAGGTGCAAACCTACCTCTCAGAGCAAACCACCCTGAAGAGAAGTGATCCACTTAAGTACTGGAAAGAACATGCTAATCAGTTCCCCTCCATGGCTGCTGTTGCAACCCAGTATCACTGTGCCCCCTGCAGCTCTGAGGACAGTGAGAGACTTTTTAGTGCTGTCACTAAAATCGTTGATGAGAACAGGAACAGGCTCAAACCTGACAAAGTAGAGATGTTAGTTTTTATCAAGAAAAATGTACATTTCCTTCTGTGAAGCCAGAGAAGGAGAGTAAGAATTCGGGGTTCAGTTCTGAAAAGCACATTACTGGCCTTGCTTTATAACCCTGTGCACTTCTATTTTCTTATTTGTTTACATACCTGCCAGGTATTAGAAATTGTTGCACTAAAGAATTTTTTATTACTTGATTACTTGATTGTTCGAGCTACCTCACAGAAGTCCTCTATTTATAAGTGTTAAATGATAAAAATAAGTTGAATAAAATTAAAAAAAATCAGGGTCATCCTGGATCTGTTTCTTCAGTCTTCTTCATTTTTTTAATGTACTGTTGAGGTATCGGATCGAGACCCGGAATCAGCAGATACTAAAAATCAAAAGACTCGAACTTGGACTCAGGGGCAAAAAAACATGATTGGGACATCCTTACTTATCTATACCTGTCATTCTCCATTGATTTTTTTTGAGCTGAGGGTCCTTGGAGGCTGCCTGGATTTGCAGGAAACTGCTTCAGAAATTGCTCCACCATTAGGAACAGGCTGTTCCACCTGTTCTTCACATCCAAAATGACAGCATGTTCAGGAAGACCTATAGAGAGACAGTGTGTGTGTGGTTGTTACGCCTGGTTCACACAGGAAGCGCCGCGCGCGGAACGGAAGCGCCGCGCACAGAGTTTCGGATCGGCGCCCGTGTTAACCTATGAGACTGTTCACACAGCTCGCGCGCGGAACGGCTCGCGCTCTGGAGCGCGGCTGCTCCGAGTCTCTCTATTTTTGGCGCGAGCCGCGCGCGCCGATGTAACGCCTGGTTCACACAGGAAGCGGAACGGAAGCGCCGGCTCGCGCTTGGCTGTTCACACATAAAGCGTTTTCTGCTGCGCTCTGACATGCCGGTCAGACATCGACTGAGCCCGGCAGTGCTCAGCCGTTTCCGTCTGCCCTCAGTTTTCCACACTTACGAGCGCTTTAAAAATGGGTAAATCAATATTTATTTACGTTTTTATTTCGTCATACATAAATGAAATATTGGCAGCATCTTCAAGTATTGTTTTAAATTATTATATAGGGGTAAACAACGAATAAATTGGGGAGTCTGTTGACTCCGTTGTATGTATAGCCTTGTTAGCTCGAGGCTACTGACTGTATTGTAATAAAGTCCCCCTCCTTTGTCTCAATAACATCACTGAATCTCTGCAGTTCTCCCTCCGTGTGTGTGTGTGTGTGTGTGTTTATCGGTAAAAAATAGACCGACAAGCAACACTGTAAATCCTTTTTTTCTAATTCATTGAAATTTATTTTATTTTGAAAATTGACCGGATTCTCTCGCATCTCCTGTTCCGACTTCCTGTCTGGTCCGATCTGCTCTGTCCAGCTTAACATCGGCGCGCGCGGCTTGCGCCAAAAATAGAGAGAAGCGGAGAAGCGGAGCAGCCGCGCTTCCGCGCGCGAGCTGTGTGAACAGTCTCAAAGGCTGTGTCAGAAATGGCCTACTACTCCTACTACTCCTACTAAACCCGCCTCTGAATTGAGTAGGCAGTGCGTTCACACTGTACAGTATGCAAATTTTGTGTATGCGAGAAATGCCCAGATGTATACTCAATCGGCTTTGATTTCTGAGTGTGCAACGGAGCTTGCTTCACGTACTGCTTCTGCCCCACAATGCATTGCGCACCTCAGCTGGTAATATGGCCCTCCTTCCCGAGGCTGAAAAGAAATAGATGGCATGTGATTGCAATAATATATATATATTTAGATAAACAATATTTAGTCAGTATACATTACACAATTTTTATCATTTTATCATATTTTGATCTTTTTACCAGATTTATTTGTATTTTAAATTAGGATTATAGGTAATGTTTTTAACTATTCGTATAAATTGACTTTATTTATTTAAGTGTCTATTAAAGATGTATTTATTACATCAAGTTTGAGCATCTTCTCATCTCTGAATGCATCATCAAAGTGGTCACTCATATTAAGCACAGACCTCTGATTAATAAAAATTATTATTGGTAGAGAGCACATGGTTCAGAATATACAAACGGGGGAGTTTCCAGTTGACAATCTATGTGAGCTTTACTAGTTCTTACTTGTGGTTGAAAATCTGATGGTTTCTGAAATGATCATTGTACATGAAAAGAATGTAGTCGGGAAATTATGAATTTGCCAAGGAATAACCGAACGAGGTCATAATAATTATGTTGTGTGTTGGTCATTTTGCAGCCCTCTGCTGCTCATCACACGCCTAGCAGGTGGTGTATAGCATTATCACCATGGATACACAGATGTTTGTGTGATTTTTTTCATCCACTGCCGCCCGGTTTGTGTCGTGTAGATGGTGATTATGAAAACACTTCGCAATAATTTGGAAACGTGAAGTGGGGGGTTGCTGCTGCCCGGTGTTTACGGTAAATAGACGCAAACACCCACCAAGTGGACGCTTCGGTCTCCGAAAACGCAGAGACAAATTTACAAACAGCCACTATTTCAAAAAACTGGGCTCATAATCGTGATGTAAACACTTACTTTCTCGCTAGAAAAAATATTATTATTGAATGAATTTATATAATTTGTCCGGAATGCAGTCATTCTGTGTTGCTTGTGGTAGGACTATTTAAATTTTCCCGGCGCTGCGTCCGGCCGGCACGAAATGCATTCTGGGGTATTTAGTATGTATGTGTGTAAACGCTCGGGCAGCCGCGGCATACTCAAATCATCTTTGAGTAGTCAGTAGGCAGTAGCTACTGCTTGAGTAGGTAAGTAGATAGTAGGCAGTATGCCATTTCGGACAAAGCCATAGGTTAACACGGGCGCCGATCCGAAACTCTGTGCGCGGCGCTTCCTGTGTGAACCAGGCGTAAAGCTGGACAGAGCAGATCGGACCAGACAGGAAGTCTGAACAGGAGATGCGAGAGAATCCGGTCAATTTTCAAAATAAAATAAATTTCAATAAATTAGATAAAAAGGATTTACGGTGTTGCTTGTCAGTCTATTTTTTACCGATTAACACACACACACACACACACACACACACACACACACACACACGGAAGGAGAACTGCAGAGATTCAGTGATGTTATTGAGACAAAGGAGGGGGACTTTATTACAATACAGTCAGTAGCCTCGAGCTAACAAGGCTATACATACAACGGAGTCAACAGACTCCCCAATTTATTCGTTGTTTACCCCTATATAATAATTTAAAACAATACTTGAAGATGCTGCCAATATTTCATTTATGTATGACGAAATAAAAACGTAAATAAATATTGATAAACCCATTTTTAAAGCGCTCTTAAGTGTGGAAAACTGAGGGCAGACGGAAACGGCCGAGCACTGCCAGGCTCAGTCGATGTCTGACCGGCGTGTCAGAGCGCAGCAGAAAATGCTTTATGTGTGAACAGCCGCTTCCGTTCCGCGCGTGGCGCTTCCTGTGTGAACCAGGCGTAACTGCTTGTGTATTTGTAGTAATACCTCAATGATTGGTTTAGCCATGGAATGCTGCACTAAGTTTCCTCTATTTTGATTTACACTTAATGAGAAGACGCTGCTTCACTTTAAGGACAGGTTTAGCCAAGCTGCACCGCTTTAACCACACCACCATAGCTCTGATTCTTCCTGTCCACTTTAAGATGGCAGGTATAGTGTACAACTTTTGAGCAGCAATGTTTAAAGTATGAGCAAAGCAGCTAATTTTTCTAATGCTCATCTAAGTGATCGCGACAACTTTTTCCTTTATGTTGAATTTATCAAAAATATCCCCTATCTCCTCAGCTATTACATTCCCTGTCTGTGATGTGTAGACTGCCCTGGTATGCAGGATTTTCTCCTTCATGGTACCCTCTCTCACAATTTGGACTGAAACAGTGAAGTAGTGGTCTTGTGCCACCAGTGTTGTTTTTGGCAGGCATTTTAGATTTAGTTTTAGTCTTAGTCATTTTGACGAAATGCTTCTTCGTTTTAGTCCCATTTTAGTCATTTCTATCCTTGATAGTTTTCGTCTAGTTTTAGTCCGAAGAAAACTCAAAAGGTTTTAGTCTAGTTTTAGTCGACGAAAAGGTGCCTTTTGAGGTTCGTGGTGTTCTTTCCCGACAGTTTGAAGCCGCAGCATGAGGAAGCTGTGGCTCCACAACTGTCGTCTGTCTCGTGTCCCTGTCCACGTACAAGACATTTTGTTTTATTGTCACTTGGACTGTATCTGAAGTAGGACCATAAATCATCCCTCTTTTTTCGGCCACCGGGTACCGCTGCTGTGCCTGCCGCCACGGTGTGTGTGTGTGCGCGCCTCGTCCACCTGCCGCTCTGTGTATGTGTATGAGTGTGTGCGCGCAGCTGTGCGCGAGCGAGGCTTTTGGTGCGTGTGTGATGGGGGTGTGACTGTTAGGACAAAAAAAAAGCATGTTTTGAAACTTTGTTCGTCCACCTAATAACAATTTAGTCTCGTATCGTTCTCGTCTGATGAAAATGAATACAATTTTCGTCACATTTTAGTCTTTACAGAGCTTTGGTGACGTTCGTCTTAGTCTCATTTTCGTCAAGGAAAAAAGGGGTCTGACGTCGTCATTTAAGTTTTCGTCCTGCCTGACGAAAACAACACCGTGTGCCACACTGGTCCACCCATCTGCGGTCACAGCCACATCTCTGACATCTTGCAATTCTCTTGACATTTCCCTTCTTTATACCATGCAGGAATAAGTACGTTTGACAGCATGTCTCTGCTGGGGGGCTAATATCCGGGGTTTAGGACTCTTAACATCTTCCTAGTTGACATCAAAACACAGAAAATCAACAATAACATGGCTGTGCTATCACAATTCTCTCGACATTTCCCTTCTCTATACCATGCAGGAATGAGTATGTTTGACAGCATGTCTCTGCTGGGGAGCTGATATCTGGGGTTTAGGACTCTTAACATCTTCCTAGTTGACATCAAAACACAGAAAGTCAACAATAACATGGCTGTGTTATTATGGCTAGAAAACATCTAGGCTGGGAGATAAAGACTTGACTGATCAACAGTATCATTTGCAGCTTACTTACCTCCACCACAGAGCCTCCACTGTAGAAAAAGGCAGAAAACCTTGAAGTTTGTGACTGCCCTGAGGCACTCATCTTGTTTTTCTTTTGTCATTTTTCCTTTTTCTGCCAGTGTGAATGGATTCACACTGGCTGGCCTTTTCCCCCTCACATCAGGGTCAGAGGCTACTGTGATAAGAAGATAAACGTTACAGTGAACATTAGGTGAGCTGTTTAACCAGCCAACCCAATTGATGAGCACATCTTAACAAGCTAAGCTTTATCTGTCAATCTCTAGTTAGCTTTTGATTTAGCTCACTACATAGCCATAAAATAAAGCTACACTTAATTATCTTAAATTAGCGTTACATGGATCCCATTTTAACTCACAGCGCAATGAACGTTTTATGTTGCAGTAACATTAAGTAAACTCACCTGTTGATATCCCAGACATAGTGCCGTCATTGGCACTCTCAGATGAAGTCCGATGGTGGAGATTTTGAATCAGGCTGCTCATGCTCTGTAACGTCCACAGGCGGACTTGAATGCTGAGAGGAGGACGGCTGTGGATCGCTCTTCTTGCAGTCAAACATGGGGCAACTTTCTGCTCTGAAATTGACTTTGTGCACGGTCAGGTGCTTCATCAAATTAGTCGTGTTGCCAGCCTTAGTAATAATGACTTTTTAGCAAATACTGCATCGCGCATTATTGGCATCAATCTTCATCAATCATCGACCTCTGACATTTTATAACCAATTCGACGACACACACAACTACAGTTCACAATCAAAATGTCTCCACTAACGATGTATATTTCCTGCATATGGCAATCACGTAAACATTAAAGTCAATCACCAGAAGCATTATCAAGTCTTGATCACGTGATTAACCTCTGGGTACCAAAACTTGGCACCGTAAAACGAGGCATGTTTTAATACTCGGTACTTGGTCTGTACCACAAAAGAACCAAAGTTCGGTACCCAGCCCTACACACAACTAAATACTATATTTCAATGTAGGCCTAACTCCAGATTGAATATTCACAGAATTTTAAGGATGGGAAAACATTAAATAAACGGGTTATTTTGAGCAAAAGTGTATTATTGTTTTGTTTAAATTTTCTAAGTAAATAACTCATCTGATCACTAAAAGAAATCATCTGGTCAGACTTGCCGCCGCAGGGCGGGGAGGGAACACAGAGATGCGTTGGGGTCCAGCCACGTGAGAAAGAAGAGGAAGTGGAAGAGAAAAATTATAGATCTTGTTAACTTCATCATGTATGACTATTTATTGGATATTTAGTTTAATGCGGTTTCAGCTGTGTTAATTTGGTCAGGTTGAGTGTCTATACACGTGCCAACACGCTCATCACATAAAATATAAATCAGAATACATCGATATAGATCTAAATGTATGTGCTGATTTAGATAGTTGCACTGAATATTGGTTGTTGTTGATTATTTAGTGCGCTGATATAGTTGCAAGTAAGAAAGCAAGTCCCAAATCCTGGCTTCAAAAGAATTCAACTGTGAAACTTCTTGTAAACATTACAAACTCTCTTTGCATAATGGAGAAAACAACTTTTACACTGCTCTCATTTAAAATTGTTAGACTGTGCCCTATTGTGCTGTGCTTGTCTTTTTTTATGCCTACCTTTATAATTTTGAGATTAAATTATATCTACCCTTGTCTTTATCTATTCTTTGTTTACATATTTAAAAAAATTGAAAATAAAAGTATTGGAAAATAAAGATAAGTAGTATTAAAAAGTATTGTAAGTAGTAATTAAAGTATTGAAAAAAAAAAGATAAAAATAACCCCATCAGGGCTGGTACCGTGCTTGATGCCAAAGTTGTATGGGCTATTTTTCTGCTGCACACACAGATAGTGAACTTGGTTGTGAAGGGAGGCCTTTTACATTAAATGTAAAAGCTAATTAAGCAGTTACTTACCAAAGGCTTATTTTAATGTACAGTATCTACTGCATTTAGAGTCTGGGTGCTCTTTTAGATCATTTTCTTCTTTCAGGACTAACAGATATTATCACATCTATCATCTGGTTTGAATTGAGCTGCAGTCTCAACCAACAACAGAGGCAGTTGGAAGAAAACTTACAGTATACTCTATGAACAAAACATGACATATAACACAGATGTCAGTGGCAGAAGAAAAATAGCAGAAGCTGGGTAATGGATAAAAACAACCAAAAAAATGTAAAAGACTGGTACCTCCACCCTGCGAGAGGGAAAGAGAAGATGAGTAACCTCCTCCGCTTGAGTAGGAAGCTAGCGCTCCAGATGGGGTTCCTACAAAACAATGACAAACAGATGTCCACTATGAAATACTGGAAATAGCATCAATGTGTCAATTGATATGTGGCACTCACCAGCCACTTAATTGGGTACACTTGTTTAATTGCTTGTTAACACAAATAGCTAATTTGCCAATCACATGGCAGCAACTCAATGCATTAAGACATATAGAAATGGTCAAGACGACTTGCTAAAAATCAAACACATCTAAAGAACGGGGAAGAATGGAGATTCAAGAGAATTTGAACATGGCATGGTTGTGGGTACCAGACAGGCTGTTTCTAAGAATTTTAGAATCTGCTGATCTACTGGGATTTTCTCTCACGACCATCTCTAGGGTTTACAGAGAATCATCTGAAAAAAAAGAAAATATACAGAGTGCTGCAGTTATATGGATGAATGAGTCAGGATGTCAGCTACCACATTTAGATGGTGGGTCAGAATTTGACCTAAACTACACGAAAGCAGAAACCCATCCTGCCTTGAATCAATGATTCAGGCTGCTGCTAGTGGTGTGGGGGTATTTCCTTGGCCCACTTTTGGCTCCCTAGCACTAACTGAGCATTGTATAAATGCCACAGCCTACCTAGGTATTGTTGCTGACCATGTCCATTCTTATTGGACTTATTGTCCACATTAATATTTTTACATTTTTGTCAGTTAGACTAAATATTTACCAGATTTCAACAATTTTTTTCTTGATATTTTTCAATTGCTTTTTGTCAAATGCTAACAAACAAAAACAAATTATTAAACCCAAAAAAAGAACAACAGCAATGTGAAAGTGGTACTGGCATTGGCAATGCAAAAAACTAATTGGTTGATCAAATATTAACTGTACTGATAATGAGTTCCCACTATTTAACCTATTTCTGCATATCTTAATACGATTACATCACATAGAAGAAAGAAACTACTACCAATGTAAACAAAGTGCCCGCTGATTGCTTCATTAAAAAATAAAAATAAATATAAAGTAAGAGCCCTCTGGAACCCAGTCTTCAATGTATAAAAGGTAGACAAAATCTAAATTTCTAAATCATTTCTAAAACATCTAAAACAAAGTCAGCCATGTCTCCACAATATTTTGACCTCCCCCCACGGTTTCTTCTTCAACAGGATCTCAAAGCACTGAGGACCACAGTACTATAATGACATAATATCATATTATATCATAATAATGACAGTCTGGTGAAGATAGAGATGAATATACCTAATAAGGAATGGTCCTTGTTTGTTGACTCGGCGTCCCCAGTAGGCAGGTCAGGTCTGGTGTAATCTCTGCTTTTGTCATTGTTGTACTTGACGTTGAGGTTGACCAGTTTACTGAAGTCTATCCGCAGCGTACAGCATGAATTGTAGATGTTCTGTCCATCCAAAGACTGCAGTAGAAAATTGAAACAGTGTTTAAGGTCCAGAATATATTTGTTTTAGGGCCTGACCGATATGATTTTTTGGGGCCGATGCCGATACCGATTATTAGGGGGGGGGATCCGATTACCGATTAATTTGATGTTTTTTTTTAATTTTTATTAAGTTATGAAATATATATATGTGTATATATATATATATATATATATATATATATATATATGGACTGTAGATATCTACAGTATACTGTATTCTGTAGATATACTGTACGCTACTGCTCTTAACACCGACAGGAAGAGCGACTCATCAAACTCGGACCAGAAAAGCATTTTCAAACACCCCCCCCCCCCGCGGCCGATCGATGCTTTCAGGTCTTGACTCACGTTACTCATTTCCGGTCCAGTCTGGAGACATGCAGCTGCCTCAGTAAGAGAAGTAGCTCAATCACCGTAATGTGTACTGTTGTTTATTCTACCTTTACTGGCACGGCTAACAGTGTAGCAAGGCTAATAGCAGGTGGCTTACTCTAACTTTAGCTTGCATATTACATGGTGCTTCACCGTTAACTCGGCGTGACCGAGACCAGCACAGCGAGGAACATCTTGAAGTGGGTTGAAATGAAACTTGTTGACTTATTGTGTATTTCACAAACTGCTTTATTTACGTTGAGGCGGACCACTCTCCTCAGCGTGTCCCTGCCGCTGCCTGCTTCAGATCCTTCACTCTGCTGTGCTGTGAGGTAGTTAGTGGATGAAGATTGTCATGAGGTCGCTGCACCCATTACAGGATAAGTCGGGGGTCTTTTCAAATGACGGAATATTTTTGAAGTAAAACTGAATCTTAATTCTCTGCATTTTATTTCTGAAAATATGGGCGAAAATCTGCGAGTTTTGGTCGATTACCGACAAGTCTCGAATGGGCTAAAATTGGCCGATTTAATCAGCTTACCAATAAATTGGTCGGGACCTAATTTGTTTATCTTGATAAATATGTAAATATTTTTATTTTCCCTTCACAAAATCATGACTTTAACAAAAATGATAATTTAGGTCAGCAAAGATTTACAGTGCCATCTCAAATAATTAATACTAATATTATTGTGATATTGCATTATATAACATTCATTTTTCAAGTTTTTATTTAAACAAAAAAAAAAAAACTGAAACGGAGCAGTAGATGTGTAAGAAAAACTCCAATAATTAGGGCCACTGGCAAGCACAGTGAGGCCCTATTGTTATACTGTGGATTTTTCTTATCCCTCTTCCAAACAAATTTCGATTCACTACTCGTCCTACAGCTGAAAGAGTTGTAGGACAAATAATATATATAAGTGGCGGTTTGATTGGGATTGAGTGCTTTAAATTTCCATTATTGTATGTGAATTTTTTGGGACTTTCGTTGCAAAAAAATCTGGAAAATCTTTGCAATGAAATCAATGGGCCAGGCCTGAAAAAAAAGTGGAAATATTGGAGTTTTTCAAACGTCTACTGCTTCGGCATGCCTCCACAGAGATACATTATTTCAACTTTAAAATGTAGACACAAGTCTTGTCTATTGGTGTTTTAATTGGTATTATAGTTTGTGATCAATCAGTCATCAATGACCATAATAATTTTTAGATAAAATTTTGAGATGATCATGGGTGTGTATTGTGTGGAATCTTCATGCTAGAGTGGCTGACATCATCAGCTAGAGCAACAGAAATTGCATGTTATTGTCTGAAACTTTTCTCTTTCCATGCTCCCCACAGCCACAAATTATATTCCCTACGCGTTTTCTTACACAGTTGTAGACACACCTGTTCTGTCTCTAATGATGTGTTTATCTGAGCAGAGAAACCAACAGAATTTAAACATTAAACCTCTAAGTGAAGCAATGTCTCTCTCTGCTTCTCACTGATGTATTAAACTTGTTTTGTTCCAGTTAAGGCTAAAACATACAGGATCTGTATTAAGCGCGTTCCGTAAGTGTTGTGTATCATGCAGGAAATAGGTTGCCATTCTAATCAATGCAGCATCACATACAGGATGCATATCAGCTCTGTCGCAGCTCTGTATCAGAAGCGTATCGAGCGCAGCACTGCTTAAGATACGCACTAAGTCTATTTTTGCTGCTCTTCGCTTCCAATATGCCTCAATCTACACAGAAAAGATCATTATAGACAGGATGTCAAGCACGAAAACCACGCACCTCAACCGGTATTTCAAAATAAAAAAACATATGCGGACTCCCAATTGTGTATTAGTTCGAGTAGATGAGAAATACTTCCTGGTTATGGATTCATCAGTAACACAGAACAATCCGATGGTCAATCCCTGATCCATGTGGACCCCAACAGGACTTTGAACTGCTAACTCTGTCTGAAGGTAATAGTACAGCATAAAGGCCATAGTAGTGTAATGCCATACAATTCGAGGCAGTGTTGTTTTCGTCAGGCAGGACGAAAACTTAAATGACGACGTCAGACCCCTTTTTTCCTTGACGAAAATGAGACTAAGACGAACGTCACCAAAGCTCTGTAAAGACTAAAATGTGACAAAAATTGTATTCATTTTCGTCAGACGAGAACGAGACGAGACTAAATTGTTATTAGGTGGACGGACAAAGTTTCAAAACATGCTTTTTTTTGTCCTAACAGTCACGCCCCCATCACACACGCGCCAAAAGCCTCGCTCGCGCACAGCTGCGCGCACACACTCATACACAGAGCGGCAGGTGGACGAGGCGCGCACACACACACACCGTGGCGGCAGGCACAGCAGCGGTACCCAGTGGCCGAAAAAAGAGGGATGATTCATGGTCCTACTTCAGATACAGTCCAAGTGACAATAAAACACAATGTCTTGTACGGGGACGAGACAGACGAGACAGACGACAGTTGTGGAGCCACAGCTTCCTCATGCTGCGGCTTCAAACTGTCGGGAAAGAACACCACGAACCTCAAGAGGCACCTTTTTGTTGACTAAAACTAGACTAAAACCTTTTGAGTTTTCGTCGGACTAAAACTAGACGAAAACTATCAAGGATAGAAATGACTAAAATGGGACTAAAACGAAGAAGCATTTCGTCAAAATGACTAAGATACTGACAAGTAATAAATAATGCAATAGGTTTTCAAAGTAACTTACCCAACACTGGTTGTGGATGACTTATTAGAAATGGGCCATGTGGTTATTTGCTGCTAACATTAAATCCAATATGTATAGGGCTCCAAAGGGTGGCGTAGCAGAGTGGGAAAACTGCGGTGCATTGTGGGCTGTAAGTGTGTTAATCCTGTCCGCATGCCCGTCATTTCTCTTTTGTTCTGTACTGATACATGGTTTGGGGTCCGCATATGTTGTCTTATTTTCAAATTTGCAAGACTTTATGCACTGTATTCATGTTTGATATCATGTCTAGGTCAATCCTCTTGGTTCAGCGCAGCACATTTTGGGCACAGTCTCCAGTGCAAACAGAGCTGGCCTATTACTTAAGCTGGCTCTCTAAAAATTTGCCCCCATTTATTGTGTATTGCAAACAAAAGCCTGATGGCGAAGCGCCAGTGTTGTAGTCGAGCCACCAAAGTTCGACTCTGAGTCGAGTCTCAAGTCCTCAGTGGTTAAGTCTATGTCACCAAAAAAAATCAGAGTCCAGTCAGAGTCATCAAGGAAAAACTCTGAGTTGAGTCTGAGTCGAGTCCTCTTCCCCTAAGTTAAGTCCAGGTCCAGTCCTCGGTACCTTAGTCCAGTCCTCACTTATATGATATGGGCAGAAATGTCACTACTGCAAATATTGCAAGGTATTTTAGCCAACCCTAAATCCTTTTTTGATTGACAGCTAAACAAGTGAATCAGCGATCTTGAAGAATAAAACATCTAACAGAGCATTTTCCAAGTTATTCATTCCGTTGTTCTTAACTGCTCTGGAGACTTTACCGATCCTCAGTGACTTTTGTCTTTGTTAAAAACGACTGCCGTTGTGTTTGGCGACTCTGTTTCTGTTACATATAAATAAACAAACAGAATTATGATGTAGGCCAGAAAAATGAGCTTCCCCTCCTTCAAAAGACCAGCAGCCGCCACTGATCTGTACGTGAGTGTTCCTCTTGTCCAGGTGAGTGAGGGCGGTGTAAAGGGCGGATGAAATGGCGTCGTCCGTGCCCCTGTTCTTTCGATAAGCAAATTGATGCCTGTTGAGGGATGGAGAGAGGCCAGCTTTGAGGTGAACCAGAACCAGCCTCTCAAAACACTTCATGATGGTAGAAGTGAGAGCGACAGGGCAGAAGTCGTTGTGGCTCTTTGCAGAGGAGTGTTTCGGCACAGGCAAGATACAAGTGGACTTGAGACACGCCGGGACAACAGCTTGGGCTAGGGACAGGTTGAAAATGTCTGTGAGCACTTCTGTTGGTCAGCACAGTTCATGAGCACCCGACCAGGGATGCCATCAGGCCCAGCTGCCTTGCGTGGGTTGGTCCTGCTCAGTGCTGCATGCACATCTGTGGTGGAGAAAGTGAGGGGTTGGAGATCAGCAGGCAGGACAGCTCTGATGGGCGTCTGCCAGTTGTCTCTGTGGAAGCGGGCGTAGAAGTTGTTGAGCTTGTTGGGGAGAAGGGGTTCTGTTGCTGGGGGGTTGTTGGAGGTTTTGTAGTCCGTTATGGCCTGAATGCCTTGCCACATGTGTCAAGGATCATTGGTGTTGAAGTGATCCTCAACCTTGCACTTGTGGCTCTGCTTGGCCTGCTTAATGGCCTTGTTCAGGTCAGCCCTGGCTGAGCAGTAGGCCCGCTTGTCACCTGATCTGAAGGCGGTGTCACGTGCCATCAGCTGAAGCTGGACCTCAGTGTTCATTTATGGCTTTTGGTTGGAAAAGGTGATAATCCGTTTGATGGTAGTGACACTGTCAATATTGGAGCTGATGTGGTTCAGAACAGAGAAGGTGTAGGAGTGAATGTTAATGTGGGAGTCTATGGTGGCCTGGGTGGCAAACAGGCTCCAGTTTGTAGATTTTAGCCAGCGCTGTAACTCCAGGTCTGCCCCCTCAGGCCATATCTTTACAGATCTGATCGTGGGTTTGATCCTTTTAATGAGTGGAATGTACTTGGGGAGGAGAAACAGGGAAAGGTGGTAAGAACGTCCCAGGTGGGGGAGAGGGACAGCTCTGTATGCTTCTTTGATGTTGGTATAAACATGATCTAAGATCTTGTCACCTCTTGTGGGACATGTGACGTGCTGATAGACCTTTGGGAGCACAGTCCTCAGGTTAGAGTGATTAAAATCTCCAGCCACGATGAAGGCTGCCTCAGGATGCAATGTCTGATATTTGCTAAAAGCAACGTGAAGTTCTTTCATTGCTAACTTAGCATTAACCTCGGGGGGTATGTAAGCTGCGATCACTAGGGTGACAGAGGCTGGTAAAAAGGTCTGCATTTAACTATCAGATACTCTAGGTTAATAGAGCAGTGACTCTTGAGTGTGGTACTGTCCATGCACCAAGCTTTGTTTATATAAATGCACAAACCGCCACCCACAGACTTGCCTGAATAAGCTGTTCGGTCCGCACAATGTAGCTCACATTCATCTAGCTCCACAGCATTGTTGGGGATATCACTGTGGAGCCAGGATTCTGTAACATGACATTGCAGTCTTTAATCCAGTGATGGTTTATAATCCACAGCCGTAAATCATCCATTTTGTTTCCCACAGAGCGCATATTAGCGAGGAATAGGCTGGGGAGCGCCTGCCGGTGAGGCGTTAGCTTTGGCCTCGTCCTCACTCCTTCCCGCGCACCCCACTTGTGTTTACACTTTCTGGCCGGTCGAGGAGCACGGCCAGCCGGCAGCACGGCCAGCCGGCCGCACTGCAGTGGTAGTCCCGGGTCTTCAAGTGATCTCGCCGGGGATCAGAGAGTCGGCAATAACGGTGATTGATTGCTGTCGTCCAATGTCCAAAAGTTGTTGCCTGTTGTATGATATTAGTGTAAGACTGCCACGGATAACAAGACTTGCAACTAACAAGTAGACCACTGCCAGTTCACATGCAAAGTGGAGACGCAGGGCTTCGCTGTGTACACACGCCGCCATCTTGTTTTTTTGGACCAAGATGGCGGCTGTTATGGATGAATCTGTTATTATGACCTTATACCAGATGAATTAATAAATAAAAAATAACAAACCATTCATTGATAAATAAGCCAGAGTCCTCCTCCGAGTCTCAATGCAGCCAGAGCTTGAGTCCGAGTCCAATTCCGAGTCATTAGTGCACAAGTCTGAGTTGAGTCACAAGTCCTGCATATCCGGACTCGAGTCTGAGTCCTAGACTCGAGTACAACAACACTACAAAGCGTATTCTGAGACTCCTCACATCCAAATTGGGTGAGCTTCTCTTATTCTCTGGTGGGTCAGTACTGAGGTGCTCCCTGTAAAAAAAGTTTTGCTTCATATGTACGATTTCGACAAAATAGGGGAAAAACCTGACAAAAAGTATCACTGCTAGCCCCATCAGGGATGCTACGAGTCTGTGCAGGAGAATACTCTACAGAGGGAGGTATTGTTTGCAAAACACAAAGAATGGCAAAGAAATGCACCAATTCTTTTCAGTATTTAGTGTTCTGGGCTGGAGCCAAAATTTGTTGTGTCACTCCCTGTTGAAACAGGAGCATGAACTAGAATGTGCACATATCAGCACCAGAGTGTGCAGCAAAACAGAAGTCGGCACATATGCATCCTGAGGATTTTAGAGGTCAGAGCCTCATGGAAGCTGTAACGATTGAATTCTTACAACTTGTTGTTTTCTTTTCCTACTGTCTGCGGGATATCTGATCTTACCAGTTTAGCTTGCTGTGCATTGACAGGATCGCTGAACTGCAGTAGAGCCTGAAATTGGTTGTTTTTGGTGAAGGTTATGATCTTCATCACAGTCCCAAATTTACTGAAGATCTAGAACAATCAAACAATTCAGGAAATTACACAGAAGCATGAATGAGCTTGAGCTGAGTCGTGCCTATGTGAGAATTCAGCATAGGGTGTATCTGTATCTGTATTTAGAGTGTATGTGTATCTGCAATGACTGGATAAAAGAAATAATCTGTGCAGAGCATAAAGAGCTGGAATGCATCAGATACAAGAAAATCCCAAAGCCTATCAATAGTTGTCTGATTCAGCTTTTAAATTCATCAGTGTAAGCAAACCCCAGTGTGACTGCCCCTGAAAAACTGTCTAATTTTAAGTTGATGGGTTTTACCTGTTGTAGCACATCTAATGTCACTGGATAAAACATATTGTCAATGATGATCCGCAGGACAGGGCTCGGGGGTGGCGCTAGATCAAGAACTCCAGGATCAGAGGATGGAGAGCTTCCATCCTGAACTGCTGACACTGCCTGCAGCACAGCCTGGGCCCTCTAAGTAGAAAGAAAACACCATGGAAAAGAGGAAAGGGTATCTAGCTTTAGCACAAACCTTGGATAGATTGAATTAATTGGTGTACAAATATTTCTATTTACATACCTGGTTTAGAGCTGAGTCTGTTTTTAGTTCTTTGTGGTTGGAGTACTGTATAAAGACAGGAGTGTTTCTAACCTGAAATAAGATCAATTCAATACACTATTCAGTTATCAGCACTTCAATCCAAAAAACAAAAGCGATTTATAAACAGCATGAATGTTTGTCAAACCTGTGGTGTGACAGCTGTGTAATAGTTCACCATAGTGATAGCTGCTTCCTCTGTTCCCAACTCCAAAAACGCCTGAAAATAGACAGGTTATTTTCCTTCTTTTGTTTAAAACAAAACACAAACAGAGATCTTTCCTAAAAATGGTATTGTCTGGATGGCAATATTTGTTTCTCCGAAACCTGAATACACTATTCAGCATTAATGTTTCCTTTCACAATGTGTAAGCTACTCATGCCATGAAAACTTATACATCTGGCTTTTGAATTGTGTGCTGATTAGGGCTGCCATGATTACTCCATGTGCCATGGCACCCTGAGCTCATAGCCTCCACTGTGTGTGCCTTGTCCTGGACGCACATGGGCAGTAGAACTCATAGAGGTCGGCGTCTGACGTCATAACACCTCAGTAACAATGGCGAGCAGAACGCGTAGCTCCAGTGTTTGGAGGCATTTTACCAAAAATATAGAGGGGAAATCTGTGAAATGCAAGATCTGCAAGGCAGAGCATGCTTATCACGGCAGCACGACTTCCATGCACCAGCACTTAGAAAGAAAACACGAAAACAAGAAAACAAAAATAAAGATTAAGACCTAATATAAACCATACATGTATTATAGTGAGACACTACATAAAAGCCAGACTAAAAAGAACGCTAACATACAATGTTCATGCCACAATTTTAGAAATCAATAAGTTTTAAGGCAGGATGAAAACATCCTGGAAAAGTCCTGGAAATTGATTTCTATATAAGAGTGGGAACCCTGTATTTGTTCACCCAGTTTCAATTCAGTTCAACTGAAATATCAAATGTAATGAAACTGTTCTGTATTTAAAGCAAATGTTTGTGTTGTTTTCCATGGCTAATCACTTTGATATGCAGCCTGATTTGTTATAGATGTGGGTCTGCTCTTCACTATTTTTCTGCAGCTTTCTTTGTGTGCTTCTTTGCTGTAGCCTAACCTGTTGAGATGCAGGTGGATGTACACGAGTAAGAGTATGCTGCTGTCAGTTTCTATATCATAGGATTACATTGAATGTAGGTAGGCTGTGTGTCGGCTATAATGCCCTATTAATAAGTTGAAATACAGTATCCCTACCCCATTTGTCTTTGTGGGTCAACATCGTTTGTTTCCTTAATTATTTTCTTAGAAAGCACCAGAATGCTTCATTTACCTTTTGAAAACGAAAAAAAAGTCTCCCGGGGGAGGATACCCCCGGACCCCGCTACAGGGCTCTGTTTTCCGAACCTTCAGCCGCACCTATTATTTTTCTTACCAGCCGTCACTGTTGGGTTGGCTGACGTTACCAACGCCGTTATTTTTCTATGTTAAATGCCACTGCCAGAGTGAATTTGTGTGTTTAAATTTATTTGTTTTTGATACCAAATTTTTATTTTGTACTGTTTTACTAATACTATTTTATATAACAAAGTTTAATAAAAGGTTGAAATGAACCACTGTCTTTCTTGTCTTCTTTTTTCACAAGCACATACTCTGTTACCTTTTTTAGATGGAGTTTATTCAATGGTGGTAAAACAGCAGCTGCATGCTGGTGCGATAATCCGAAATATATATATATATGTATATATACGTGTGTGTGTGTGTGTGTGTGTGTGTGTGTGATGCACGTGATTTCCAATATGAATGTCTAATTATGTATAGTCCAATCACAGCACAGTTATCCACTTGCCCACAGTTCATATTGATTAGTGTAATTCTCTCCTCTTGGGTCTTCCTCACCAATCTCTCCATAAACTACAACTGGTTCAGAACTCAGCTGCTCATATTATCACCAAAACTCCCTCATTTCACCACAACACCCCTGTCCTATAGTAGCTCCACCGTGTCCCAGTTAATACAGAATATAATTCAAAATTCTCCCATATATATTGAAGGCCATCTCCTCCCACAACCTCAAACCCTCTTCCTTCATCCACCTCACCTTCCCCCTGTGCCTGCCTCAACTCCATGGGGAGTACCACTTGGTTCCCCAACTCTGGAACTCACTCCCACCAGACATCCAGGACATTGTCTCTTTCTCTCTCTCTTCAAATCCAGACTCAAAACCCACCTGTTCAGATGAGCCCACTCTTTGTCATTTCTTTGGCCCATACTATGTCTGCTTTTATCTTTTTTTATTCTACTATTTTGAGGGTTTCCACTACATCTTAATTATAGCGGCGCACTGCCATGCCATCAGAATTACATTTTTTTTTTTTCAGATGTTCTAAACGTAAATTATATTGTAAGGATTAATATAAACATAAGGTCTATATTTACACACATTTACAGACCATAATAGGAGTGTGGAATTGTACTCATGAAATGTTTGGTGGCGAAGAGCCCACAGAGTGGAGTAAAGGGAGAGAGAAAGGTACCTAAGAAGGATAAGTTTAATGAATACGTAGCTCAAGCCTGTGAAAATGACCCTAAAGTTATCGTCAATGTTAATAATGCAATATTAGCAAAAGTAAATGTTGATGATACAAAGTTTCATTTTTTTCAGATGACATAACAGTTACGTTTGGAAAAACAGAACGCTGTGGTTTGGTGTCCCAGTGTAAACAACTAAGCAGGAGGCTTGTGTATCTTCAGTCCAAATAACTCTTTATTGGACATTAATGGAGCATGTAATGGAGAACAACATAGCACATGAGCATGACTTGTGACCTTCCCTGATCTTCTAGGTAACCACCAACATCAGCACTGTATTATCTATAGTAGAAGCTCAAGTTCTTTCTACATTATATGACACTCACTAAAATTGTTTTTTTGTTTTGGTTAAGATGGAGCTGAGCCTTGGAGCTCGTCTTAAAGAAAACAAGAAAAATTACGTGCTCTTAGCCTTGCTGCAAACTGTGCTATTAGATAAGGCTAAATTATGTTAGTGTTAAATAAATAATTCATCTATAAAAATTTTAAATTGTGATATTTTTTTTCCCCGCGTTTGGGGTGGGGTGGGTGGGTCAGAGCCCTCCCCCACAGTTTCAAAAATCCTGAAGGAAACCCTGGTTTTTTATCTGTAAAGTGACCTTAAGTGTATAAATGCACTTATGAATAAATTGTATCATTATCTTAAATAGGCTCCGTATTGGCCCACAGAATCATGTTAATTTAGAGTTTCCTCAGCTCATGGTAGTGTTGGGCGGTATCTCGGTATATACAGTGTGACAGTATAAAAGTGTCTACCAGTAGAAATTTTGCTTTACCGTTGTACCCGAGAAAGAGCCGATGTCTGCTGCATCTTTCTGAGTCAGTGGGCCCGTTTACATGGGTCCAAAAATCCTATTTACAATCAGATTAAAAGGTCAATCAGATTAAAAATGTCCCATATAAACACCTTAGCCAATCTGATTCACCCGGATCTGATTGTATTTCAGGTCGGATTGAAAGAGGTAGTCTACACCGATTGATAATCCGCTCCATGCTCCATATATACGGCTGAGTGGAGCGGATTGGGTTTACAGAGAGGCTTGTTCAGTCTGCGCAGGCGCTCGGTAGAACGTAAGAGGCACGTAGTGACGTACGCAGAGCGCGCCCAAACGAAAACAAGCATGGCGAACAAACAGAAAAACTGGACGGTGGAGTGTTAAAGTGTGTTGTTTCGTGCGACTGACGAAGCGTACACTTCTTGCTGTGTAACCCGGCTGGATTATACTTTTATTAAACTTTAACACATAGGGTTCCTTACTCTGCTCGGTCTGGTAACTCCGGCGGTGTCACACACAAATACGTCCGTGCGCAACTCTAAAACGGAACTAGAACAATGGTTCCTATTAACAATTCACATTGACACAATACAATACAACTGGATTCAGCTGGGGCCATGAAAACGTGGACTGAACGTGGATCTCTTTACTTAAAGTTCATGTATACAGATGGAATCAGATTCACTTAATCCGATTGATTTCAATCAGATTGAGGAAAACTACCCATGTAAATGGGGCCATTGTGTAGTTGTCTGCACTCGCAGACAGGAAAGCTGGAGCGCATCCGTTTGGGTGCATTACCATATATTCACCAGCTTGTCGTGTGGAGTTTGTTCGCTCCGTTTGATTGGTCAGGTTTTGGTGTGCTTCCTATAATCACCAGCGTGTCCAGCAGACTGCTTGGCATAATTTCAACAAGGAAAAAACAGCTTCACTGGTGGTGGACATGGCAGACGCAGAGATTAGTGGAAGTACCAAGCAAACAGAGGGAGCCCGACCCACCCAACATGAGGAAGAGGAGGAGGAACTTGTTCCAAAAAAGGGCACAAGTCGTGACATGGGTTGTCTGGAGTTTATTCGGATTTAGAAAATCAGACAATAATCAAAAACAATATTAAACAAAGAGTGTTGTGTGGCTGTCATTGCTGGAGGAGGAAACACCGGCAACCTCTTCCACCATTAAAGATGAAACACGCTAAGCTCTATTATGAGAGCTGAAAGATACGCCATATGATTAAAAAAAAATCGCCTGACTGCTCTGGCATTTTGTTTGCATTTTTTTACAAATTGGAGTTTGAAAGTAAAAGGAAAATGAACAAATGCAACAGTATGCTTAATTTTAAGAAATTAATTGAATTTACAGGGGGAAGAAACATAACGTGATATGTACCGTTACCGTGGTATGAAAGTACTCATACCGTGATATAAGATTTTGTTCATACCATCCAACACTGGCTTATGGTGGAATTTTAACCTGCATTTATGAATGTAGCCATGCATCTTGTTCATGGAAAATAAATTGTGAAGTTGACTTTGAGCCCATGCAGTGATTTTTACCCCACTCCAAAAGAGACTGAAACAGTGTATGCCTGGTTTATGTTCTGTAAAAGAGTTCTGTTAAGTTTACCTGATTTTTTCCCTTCAGCATCAGTATATTTGTAACCTTGCCAAAAGGGAGGCCCAGAGCTATGACTTCAGTTTCTGACACTTCATTAGGAAGTTTTCTGATGTGGAGAACTCTGGAAGGGGATGATTCATCCAGACGCTGTTTCTTACTGTCACTGCCATTTGCTGAATAGGAACAGACAGACAGACAGACAGACACAAACAAAATATTGTTATAAGATCACAATACAATCCTTAATTGAAAGAATAGCTCTTTTTCTACAGTAGAGAGGCATGAGGTGCTTGTTAACAGTTGTATGACTTGGTCAGCTCAGCCCCTCTAGAAACAAACCATCCAGAGAACCAGAAAAAAGCTGGGCTATCAACAACAGCACAAGCTTCAATTAAGTCATTAAAAGAATTAAGAGAAAGTCCAACCCAAACACTAATATCAGTGTGAGTGCTAAACCAGTGACAAAAACCATTGGTTCTGTATCACTATGCAATATATTACAATAACAGCCTCAAACTTATTTTGGAGAGACACTTCCTTTTGACTTTTCAGTTTTTCTGATAAACCATCTAAAAATACACACTTGATTTACTCACTTTTTTCCGTGCTATGTTTGCCAATCTGTCTAATATGAATGTCTGCTTTCCTTTTTTTTTTTATTAAACTTGCATGTCTCACATGCGACCATACCTTCAGAAGCCACTCAACTTGCTGACTTGAACCCTTTTTTCTGCTTGGTTTGCATATCCATAAAATGTGCTTTGAATGGTCACTTTTCTGATTAAATGCATATCATTTTTGGTTATCTATGAGGTTTTGCATGTTTTATTTGCATATTTCTCCAGTTTTGCAAATCTTTTAGCTTTCTATGCTTCCTTTGCACGTTTTGTATTGAGTATGCTTGTTTGCAAAACTTCAAAACTTTAAATTGTTTTGAATCTAGTTATTGTACACACATTTTGTAAAAAATCTAGATTTACTCACCCATTTTAGACCAGTATTTATCCTTTATGCTTGACTTGTACTTTTACCTAGTTCTAAGAGTTTGATTTGCATAATTATCATCTCTGATTGTTATTGATTTGAAGATCTGTTATTTGCATACTGGATATGTTTTTAAAAGTGTGCATGCTTATTTCTTATCTTTTTTTTTTTTTTTTTTTTTTTTTTGGGGGGGGGGGGGGGGGGTTTTTTAATTTAAAAGATTGTAGTACTCTAGAGATTTTTAGTACTGTGCACCAGCATACAAGTGTAGTAAATCAATCTGCACTTGAAGTTGGATCAGGGCAGGTCTAAATCAGTATAAGGTCAAGTTAACTGCAAAAATTAAGTAAAATCCCAGTGCTGAATGTGGTTAAAGAAAATCATTTAAAACAAAAGTGAACTTACTGCTCATTGAGTTGGGGCTGCTACTGTACATGCTGAGCTCATCTGAGCCTCTCTGGGGGGAAAAAAACAGAGAAACCAAGTTAACTTTTATTTTCCAGCTTCTATAAAATTATAAAAAATAATAATCACATGAATAGAATAATAGTGCAGTACCAAACACATTCTATGATTTATCTTTGGTTTCCTGCTCAGTAATAAAATAAAATTAACTGATATCCAGTTAATGTTTATGATAACATCTTGCAGCAACTCAGATAGTTTTGTATTTTACGTTTAGAGCCAATTATAACATAATTATAAAAGGGCATTGAACACTTTAACTTACACAAAGTAAACATCTATCAAGACAGAAATAGTAAATGTAAATCTGCTTGCCTTCACACCAACTGCAACATCACTGCCAATGGAAAATTCAGGAAGAAGGAAGAAAACAATATATTAAAATATAATGCAATGAAATTATATCACAGCAACCTTCAATGAGTAATACAATCATAAAAAGTATAACTCTCATGTGAATTAAAAAAGTACAATATATTCAAGAGTGTTTGGTACTGTTTAGACAGGTGATTATTTCTTTTCTTTGCAACAGCTCAGTAACTCAGTGAATGTGTGAAGAAACATTATGCAATATAGTACTTGAGCCAAGAACCAAAATTTCACATATCGGTACCACCTGGGTGGGCAAATTCTAGTTGTGATTTTTTTTATTGCTATACATGCCTACAATAATTTTTTATATGCTAGACCTTGGTAACTGGTAGCTTTATTGTTGTTATCACTCATTGAAGTAATAGAGTGCAGCTGTTAAAAAACGAAAAATCGCCTTCCTTCAAAATTAGCTTTCTTTCATTTTAACCTCTCATTTAGGTGTGTTTGAACTATTGGCTAGCCATAGAGACTTGTAATAACCCCCTAAGTAGTATTTCAAGTAATTTATCTAATACAGGTGTGTATATATAAGCTTCAATTAGCCAATTGTCAGGTCTAAATCAAGGTCTAAATTGAGGATATTTTTGACATAGAAGTAGAAGTAAAATAAATGCAGACTAATAGCATTATAATAACACAACTTTAATATAACACTGACATATTTTAAATGCAGGCACTCAATATACAATCATCCTGGCTGGTGTAGGGCAAGAAGACATTAGCAACAAAATAAGATCTACTGATGTATACACTCTTTACAATCATCTGAGAAAAACTCAAATTCCTATTCAAAGTCCTATTCTTTCCATAAGGAACAGTGACAGCAAATATGACTTAGTACATAATACTGTCACTGAGTCACAGTGGGTCTGTTAACATAACTCCCTTTGGTCATCATTTATTAATCAACATCAGTAATCGACATCAGTATCTGTATCTTCTTCTACATCTGAGTCTGCTGGGTGTGCAATGGGCTCTTCCTAACTGTATTGGTTGGCACAAGTTTGTAATTTGCACAGGTTTGTGCACTTCAGCCCATTGCTGAGACAGGTGCAGTCTGGTGGTTTGCATGTCCTCACACACTTGCAGGATAGCAACTGCAAGACCGCATCTGGTGCATTAATAGCCAATCCTGACATGGTGTAAGCTGGCTGGACTCAACTTTAGCCAAGGTCCTGCATGAAGGTGGTGATAGTGAAAGGATTGATGTTGTCTTTGATGTTTACAAGGACATGTCAATCAAAAATTCAGAAAGACTAAACAGAGGTGCAGACATGGGGATCCAGTTCAGAAACATTGTTTCTGGCCACAATATTCAGCAGTGGAGGAAACTTCTCTTCAGCCCTGCCAACAAAGCCAGTCTCATCAAGTTCTTGGTGGAGGAATGGAGTTTTTCTCAGATGATTGTATACACTGTGTGCACAATTATTAGGCAAGTTGTATTTTTGAGGATAAATTTTATTTTTGAACAACTACAGTGCTCTAAGTCAATCCAAAATGTTAATAAACCTCAAACCTTAATATTTAAGGGAGTAAAAGTGAGATTTTGGCTTCCTTAGGAGAATATCTATGTGTGCACAATTATTGGGGGCAGCTATTAGTGTTCAGAATTATGCAACTAAATCAAAAATGAAAAATTTTCCATCTCACTTGTTTATTTTCACTTGTTAAAGTGAGAATGATAAACAAACAACTCAATTTACAAATAAAAATTGTTGAAATTAAAAAAAAAAAAATCAGTGACCAATGTAACTACCCTTCTTTTCAATAACAGTCATAAGCTTTCCATTCATGGAGTCTTTCGGTTTCTTGATCTGTTGACGATCAACTTTTTGTGTTGCAGCAACCAAAGCCTCCCAGACACTGTTCCAGACACTGTTCAGAGAGGTGTACTGTCTTCCTTCACTGTAAATTCCCTGTTTAAGAAGGGCCCACAAGTTCTCAACAGGGTTTAGGTCAGGTGAAGAAGGAGGCCATGTCATTATTCTTTCGTTTTTAAGGCCTTTACTGGCGAGCCACATAGTGGAGTACTTTGTTGCATGCAATGGAGCATTGTCCTGCATAAATATCATGGTTTTCTTGAAAGATGCAGACTTTTGCCTGTACCGCTGCTTGAAGAAAGTGTCTTCTCAAAACTGGCAGTAGGTTTGGGAGTTGATTTTAAGTCCATCTTCAACTCGAAAAGGTCCAGCTAGCTCATCTTTAATAATACCAGCCCATACCGGTACCCCGCCTCCACCTTGCTGGTGTCTGATTCGAAGTGGAGCTCTGTGCCCATTACTGATCCAGCCACGGGTCCATCCATCTGGTCCGTCAAGAGTCACTCTCATCCCATCAGTCCATAAAACCTTTGAAAAATCTCTCTTCAGATATTTCTTGGCCCAGTCTTGACGTTTCAACTTGTGTCTTGTTCAGTGGTGGTCAGGTTTCAGCCTTCCTTACTTTGGCCATGTCTCTGAGCACTGATCATCTTGTACTTCTGGGCACTCCAGGTAGGTTGCAGTTCTGGAATATGACAGCACCAGAGGATATTGGGTTCCTGGTACCTTTACGTTTGAGTCTTCTCAAATCTTTGGCAGTTAATTTGCGTCTTTTTTTCTTAACACATTTCTTGCAACCCTGTTGACTATTTGCATCAAAATGTTTGATGGTTCTGTGATCACGCCCAAATATCTAAGCAATTTCAAGAGTGCTGCATCCCTCTGAAAGACTTTTTACAATTTTTGACTTTTCAGAGTCATTTAAATCTCTTTTTTGGCCCATTTTACCTGAGGAAAAGAAGCTGCCTAATAATTATGCACACCTTGATATAGGGTTTTGATCTCCTTAGGCCCCAGCCTCTCTCATTACACTAATACACATTACTTGATATGCTTATATCCAATAAACATTCAAGTTTATACAGCTTGGAGTTGGAAAATATGCATAAAAATGATGATATGATCAAAATACTCACTTGCCTAATAATTGTGCACACAGTGTAGAGTGTATACATCAGTAGATCTTATTTTGTATTTAAAATATGTCAGTGTCATATTGAAGTTGTGTTATTATAATGCTATTAGTCTGCATTTATTTTACTTCTACTAAGTCAAAAAATATCCTTAATTTAGACCTTGATTTAGACCTGACTATTGGCTAATTGAAGCTTATATATACACACCTGTATTAGATAAATTACTTGAAATACTACTTAGGGGGTTATTACAAGTCTCTATGGCTAGCCAATAGTTCAAACACACCTAAATGAGAGGTTAAAATGAAAGAAAGCTAATTTTGAAGGAAGGCGATTTTTCGTTTTTTAACAGCTGCACTCTATTACTTCAATGAGTGATAACTACAATAAAGCTACCAGTTACCAAGGTCTATCATATAAAAACTTATTGTAGGCATGTATAGCAATAAAAAAATCACAACTAGAATTTGCCAACCCAGGTGGTACGGATATGTGAAATTTTGGTTCTTGGCTCAAGTGCTATGATACCTGAAAGAACTGCTCCACCATCAAATTGGGCCACACCCACTTCATCAACTCATTTAATTAGACACAGGTTTGATTCATTTATAGAAAAGAGCAGTGTGACCCAAAAAGAGTATGACTTTTAATGTGCTTTTGACTTTCTGTGTTGCTTTTGGAGTTAACAAAAATTCGCCTATTGAGGAAAATAACAAAATGAGAAAAAATACAAAAAGCTACCCCTATGAAAAGTCTATCATATTTTAATTTACTTATATTGACCCTAAAAACAATTTAGAATATGTAAGGTTTTGCCCACCCAAGTGGTACCGACATCTGGTCCGGCTCAAGGACTAATATGGAGATTTAATTGTTTAACTATTTATGACCCCACAATGTGTTGAGAGAAACCCTTTGGGACTTTTTGAAATCCAAAATAAACAGTAATTATTTTTTATTCCCCTTCATTATTCCAGTTGTTTAACCCAAGAGGGATTACACACATTATGAAGGCTAACCAGCAGGAGTGTTGAGTAACTTTTCAGCTTACCTGCCAAGGGGACCGGTAGATGAAAAAAATCTACCGGCCAAATACAGTTTTTAACAGCCAAATGATAAATGTCCTTTTTTGTTTCATATACATCTGTTTGTACTTTTTATTGAGATAACAGGATCATATTGCAATATATAATTAGAAAAGAGACCAAAGTATTGGTAAAGTAACCCCTCTCATGTTGTGTTATAGTACATAAAACCTGCAGAAATCACTTGAACATTTGCACACAATTGCTTCAGACGATAGGTGTTGTCAGTCCTATCTAAGGGGGTGCTGGGGCAAACCTAAAATTCATTTCAGCACTTCTAAAATTACCAAGGTGACCTGACAGTTTTTTGCCAATACCTTAATATCATCTCCAGTTTTCATTATTTTGACTTAAGTATCAAATTTATTCCTCAACTTCAAAACTGTTCAGTTAAGTGTTACAGCTTGCAACAGTTGCATTGTTCCTTTAACAACGTTCGCATCGCCAGGAGGCCACTGAGTGGCGCCTCTGTTGTGGTCAGTTGGGAAGACAGGTACAAGATGAGTGGACGCCAGGGATGGGTGGTAAGGTATCGTTAACGATATATCCTCAGAAAAATCCTCCATAATAAATGTTTGCCATTTTATGATAAATATGATAAATGCAAGCTGATGACATAAGAACAAGCGACGGACTCGCAGCCATAGCCCAAACAGAGCAGAATAAAAAACAAACGTGGCCGAAGGTAGGAAGAGGGCGTTTCTGAGCAGCCCGTTACTGAACAAGGCTCCACATGAGGGATTTCCCTCAAGATTGGGGCTTAGATGAGTGCAATCAGGTATGCCTGACATCGAACAGTGGATCTGCTGCTGCTGTTCAGTCTATGCAATAAAGCAAATGTTGAAAATGTTTTCACATTTGAGATTTATTTGATATCATTAGTATTCTCCATAACCTACCACTTAAACTTGTGGTTAAGTATCTTATTTGACTATACAAACTGGTGTTCTCAAGACAAAATGAGTAAAAAATATAGATTGAAATCATAATACTTTTTATCTGGACTTTTATCTGTATGACCCAAACAGGTTAATGTAGACAAGTACACCAGAGAATATGCCCATTTGAATGCATACTCCTGGTATCCTCTGATACATGGTGAAATAAAATTCTTAACTTTTTACTTTAATAAAGCCATGGAAAAATCTAGTTAGTGTTACAAGGATAAAATGACATTGTTTTACGAACAAAATCATAATGAACTAAAAAATTATGAGAATAAAGTTGCAATAAATGATACTATTATGAGGAAAAAAAGTTATGACAAGGTTAAAGTCACATTGTAATTAAAAAAAGACATAAAGTCAAAATATTGCGGTACCAAAGTCATGTTTTTATAAAAATAAATTTGTTAATTTAGTCGATGATTAGCCACATTATACTGTGTTGATACCACAGGGCTCAGCTTTTTGCTTAGTCTTTTCAGAGTCCTGATTCTTATTACTATGTGGTGCTGAGGAGCATAAACATTAGAAATTTAACCAGACGCTCAACATTCCTTATCCTGGTACAGACAGCTGACACCACCTTATTCTCACAAAAAAGATAACTCTACTATCATTATATTATGAATTTACAATAACTTTGTTCTCAACACAAGATGACTTTCTTCTTGTAACATCACAACTTGATTTTCTTCCAACTTTATCCTCAAAACATAACCTTTGTTTTCCAAAATCTTCAAAATACAAACAAACAAAAACTTAAATGTGGCCTCATACTCTGATCTTAAGTATTGCTGTTGTTAAAAACCACATGCCAGAGAATATTCTTTTGTGGTTGGTAAAATCAGTGGTTAAAGCAGTCAGACTGAACAATTGCAGATCATGTGGTCTTACAGGGCTGGGCACCCCAGGTAGTCTGATCCTAAAACCGCCTTTGCGACAGACAAAGAGAGTCTTCGTAAAATGCAGGTGCATGTGCCATGTTGACATTGATTTTGATACGATTGCCTTCTTTGCACTAAACATAATCGGAAATAAAACCAACATGTTATACAATTGAGCTTCAGTAATCTGCTACTACATAAAGGTGGATAGAGTGGATCAATATTAATATATGCTAATTTTGCCCATAACGGGCTGACCTGGCAATAATACAAAAACTCGATAATAAATAAAATTTGCTTTTGAGTCACGGTCCATCATAAACCTACTATACCATGTTATTTAAACAACACTTAACAAACACTTTTTAGCTTAAGTCTAGGACTTCCTGCTGTTAGCTGTCAACCGTCATGCTCTTTGTCTTATACAGTATAAAGGATCGCATTTTAGCTTACACTTGGGATATGGTGTATTTACAATGAGGACAACTGCTACCGTCTTTTTCATACGCACAGCTGTAAAAAATACACTCTTTAAAATAGACAATTACCCTTCCATTGCAGCTTTCAGTCCCCTTGTGTTAATATTTTAAGTCACGTCGGTTCCCAGACTGTGTGAGCAAAATGGGCGTTCTTCTTCTTCGTCCTCCTCTTCTTCTTCTTCTTCTTCTTCTTTTGGTTTTCTGGCGGGTTGCAACCATAGCTTATTTGGTGCATACCGCCACCTACTGTACCGGAGTATGTAGCATGGGTTACTAGTTCCTTTATGTCATTGAGGTAATAAAAAAAGAAAAAATAAATAAATAAATTAATTAATAATAATAATAATAATAATAATAATAATAATAATAATAATAATAATAATAATAATAATAAAACCTTAATCTTGTTAATACAGTTTCTTCCCTTCTGTTGCCTCTATATACTCCTTGTGCTGTAATGGACTTCTGTACCCTGCAATATTTCCTTCCGTTGTTATCCCTGTCCCATCTATATTATTGATATTCATTGAGGGTATATGTATTCCTATGCCCACTCTCTCATTTTCATCCTTAGACCCATCTGTGTATATATCTAAATAATAATCATATTTGTGCCTTACATATTGACTTGCTAGAATTCCAATCTCACTCTCTTGCCATTCTTTCTTTAACTCTAAAATACTTCTATTCCAGGTCTCGGGAAGAACCAGGGAGCGACATTACTAATAGGCGTAGGAGTGCTGAACCGAATGTTTTCCAGCCTATATTCGTGTGACTTAGTCTTTGTCATCCAACCAAATCCATTACCTTGAAATTTATTGTATTCCCAACATTCTTGAATAACACTCTTGGAAGGGTTTTCATTACCACACCCATGTAGACGGCTCCAATATGTAAGCATAAGTTTAGCTCTCCTCAGATCGAGTGGTGCTTCTCCTACTTCTGCCTTTAATGCTTTTATTGGTGTCGACCTCATCGCCCCAGTGCATAACCTCAGTGTTTTATTTACCATTCTATCAATCTTATTTAAGTGTGATTTGGCTGCTGCGCCATACACAAAGCATCCATAATCTATTTTTGACCTCATTAGAGCCCTATAAATATACATCAATGCCTGTTTGTCTGCTCCCCATACTTGTCCCACTATTGCTCTCATTAAATTAACAACTTGTTTACATTTTGATTCCACCTTCTCCACATGTGCCTTCCATAGTCCCTTTTGGTCTAGCCAAATGCCCAGATATTTAAATGTATCTACTTTCTCCATATCTTGTCCGTATAGCTTCAGGCTCTGTTCATTTATCCCTTTCTTCCTTGTAAAGAGCATGTAACAAGATTTGCTTGTAGAGAGTTTGAATCCCCACTCATACGACCACTGTTCTGTTTTCCTTTTTGCTTCCTTGATCTTACCCATTACACACGGCAGATCTCGTCCCCTTGCCCAGATGGCCCCATCGTCCGCATATAGAGCTGATCCGATCCTTCTATCCATATTCATAAATATATCATTAATCATTACATTAAATAAAACTGGACTAATTACACTGCCTTGTGGTATTCCATTAATAATTTCAAATTCATCAGACAACTCTGATCCCACCTTAACTCTAAATCTTCTGTTAGATAAAAAATCTAATACCCAGTTATAAAATCTTCCTCTGATTCCCATCCTGTTCAGTTTAATTAACAGTCTTTCTCTCCACATAGAATCATAAGCTTTTTCAATATAAAAAAATACAATAGTCATTAATTCTTTCATTTTAAATGTCTTCTCTATCTCATTACTTACTTTTACAACAGCATCCATTGTTGATCGTCCTTTCCGAAAACCACTTTGGTATGGTGCAAATAACCCTCTTTGTTCTAAAAAGTAATTGAGTCTTCTGACTAATATCTTTTCCATCCATTTACACAAATGAGAGGTTAGTGCTATAGGTCTATAGTTACCAACATTATTCGGATCTTTACCGGGTTTGCTAAAAGGTAGTATTATCGCACTCTTCCAGCTTCTTGGTATTTTCCCTTCTTTCCATATTTTGTTATACAACTGCAAGATTGTTTTTAATATTTCTTCAGGTACTTTTCTGAACATTGCATAACTCAGCTGATCCTCTCCGGTAGCAGTACTGCCAGTCCCATTTGATGCTGTTACTAATTCATTCATAGATATTTCTGAATCCATGGCACTATCCTCATTATCTTTCTTTCTATATAAATCCCTATTTTCATTTAGAATCTCCTCTTTTCTTTGTCGGTGTCGGTCATCCAGATGGTTTCCACTGTGTACACTAGAAAAATTCTTTCCTAGTAGATTTGCCTTTTCTTTATCTGTTATTGCTAGTACACCATCTTCTTCTAATACTGGTATTTTAACAAATACCTTTTTCCCATTCATTTTCTTTAACATTGACCAAACATCTCCAATTTGAACTTCCCTCCCTATAGTAGAGCAATAAGTTCTCCATGCATTACGCTTACTATTCTTAATTACTCTACGAGCTAAAGCCTTTTTTCTCTGATAGTTAATTATATTCTCCTGATTCAAATTATTCCTCAACATTCTCAGTGCACTATTTCGTTCTTTTATAGCTTTAGTACATTCAGCGTTCCACCACAGAACCATTTTCTTACTCCCCCCTAACGTCTTCATTGGTATACTTCTTAATGCAGCATTTCGTATTACATTTGAGATTTTAGATGTACATTCCTCAATACTACCCTCACATGGTATCAGTTTTACTGACTCTATAATACCTTTGTGAATTTTCCCCAATATGCTTTTGCAAAATCCCACTTCTTATGACTCGGCCTCTCCTGCATATTTAACTCTATATTTACAGAGCATATAATTGGAAAATGATCGCTTCCAATACTTGAACTGTCTTCAACACTCCACTCACAAGCACTTGCCATATTATTGGAGATTAAAGTAAGATCAATACTTGATAGTGTATTTGTACGTATGTCAATCCTTGTGCCATTTCCATTATTTAGGCAGACTAACTGCCTCACATCCATCAATTCTTCCACCACCTCTCCATTACTATCAGTGTGTTTACTACCCCAAAGGCTACTGTGTGCATTGAAGTTCCCACACCATATTTCTCTCCAATTTCCTTGTCTATTTACTATTGTCTCTAATGTTTCTAATCTTAGTGGTTTACAAAGTTGTATAAGTTAACTATTATAATGTTCCCATCTGTTTTCCAAATTTCTGTAACAACACATTCCACTTCTGATTAAGTTTTTATCCTTCTAAAAGCAATCCCATCCCTAATAAATGTTGCACAACCTCCACCCTGATTTTCACTTCTATCATACCTTACTTATTGATATCCAGGTAAAATGAAGTCAAGGTGGGGCTGTAACCAAATTTCTTGTATACAAGCAATATCTGGCTTAATTTTGGATTCTGTAATAAACTTTTTGAATTCCTGACCATTTGCAATCAGGCTTCTAGCATTCCATTGTAGGAAATGGAGTACCATTACAAGATTAAGCAACATTCTGAGACCCTCCATCATTATTCATGCTCAACATTCCATGTATGTCTTCAGCTCTCAAGTCTTTGATTCCTAGAAACTCCTCCGCCGCTTCCACCACCGTTTTAATTCTGTCGCTTTTCCTTTCTTGTCTTGTAGCTACATTTACAACTTTACACATGAATGCTACAAAGCTCTTCTTCTCTACAATTAAGGTGTTCTCTTCAATGTTGCATTTATGGTTACATGTTCGCTGTGGGGGTGCTGGCCTTTCTGTTTGGTGTCTCCTTATGTTTGTTCTCTGGGGTAGGCCTTCATTTGCATCTCATTATCAAATATGTTTCCGTTGTCTCTACTCTGCTTCCTTTCATTGATTGTGACACTCTTTACTGCCTCTGCATATGACACCTTTTTCTCAATTTTATATTTCTGTACTTCTTTGGCTTGTTTCTGTACCACACACCCAGCATATGCAGCACTATGCTCACCTCCACAGTTACAGCATTTTATCTTAGCATCCTTGCTACATTTACCATAGTCATGCTCCCCTCCACATTTTGCACACCTTTGCCACCATTTACATTGCTGTGCTGTGTGCCCCATTCTTTGGCATTTAAAGCATCTTATAGGTTGTGGAATGTACTGTCTCACCCTATAGTTAATCCATCCCATCCTCACCTCAATTGGCAGTTCTTCCTCAAACATCAGTAATACTGACAAACTATCAGTTTTGACTCCACCTTTGTATGTTTGAAGTCTTTTGGCCTCTATCACCTTTCCACCTTGTATCTCTCTTTTCACTTCGTCCATGGACATTTCCAGTGGCACGTTTGCAATCACTCCTCTCAAATTTGCTGCCCTTCCTGGTACATGTACCATAATCTTTCCACCATCCAGACTGCTCATCTTCAGTATCTTTTCCTGTTGTGTTTTATTAATTGCTGAAATTAGGATTCTTCTATTATTCAGCAATTTAGCATACTTTATTTTTCTAATCGCTTTCTCAATTGCTTTTGTCACCTGAACTGGGTGAAAATGTCCTTTATCATTACTGAGTGTAATGATAACTTTCCATTCCCCCTGTTTACCATCATCGTCGGTTGTACAGATCTTTGTGGTGCTACGTCTTTGACTATGCTCTCCTCCACTACTTGCTTCAGACCAAGACTTCTTTCTTGCATGTTTCACTTGGCTATACTCCATCTCAGAATCCCATTCATTTCCATCTGAACTATCGGCCATCGCTACACTCACGGTACAGTTTGATTCCAATCCGCCGTGCTCTCAAAAACTTCTTCTTCCGTCTCTCTGTGTCGCTCCTTCCGCCTCAACTCTACCCCACACAACCTGCTCCAGCACCAACAGTCTGATATGACCACAGTTGAACCATGATCCTTCGTCCTCCTCCTCCGCCTGCTCTTCTTCTTCTTCTTCTTCTTCTTTTGGTTTAACGGCAGCTGGCACTCTTGTGTACGGTGCATTACCGCCCTCTTCTGACAGTTCTTACACAAAAACCCTGTGCACCACCCATTCCCATCTCATACGCCCACACATTCATACTCCTACAGACTAAATCCTATCAATCAACCCCGTCACCCTTAAAAACTCGACTAACACTCTCACATGTGACCTGTCCCCCATTTGTAATACTCCCTTTAGTGTAAGGCCCTGCATACCTAATTCCCTCAACTTATTTCTCATCTTTCCCCTTTCTGTCTCATATCTCCTACAACCCATTAGAACATGCTCCACTGACTCCTCCACCTGACATCCCTCACATAACCCAGTCTGATGTTTCCCTATCATTTTCAGTGTTTTGTTTAATGCACAATGACCTAACCTCAACCTTATCAATGCTGACCCTTCCTTTCTCTGTCCACTACCCAGCCTCCTAAATTTAAAGGGGCCATGGCATGAAAAACGGACTTTGTTAACGGGAGGGGGGTGCATATCAGGGACCAAAATAATCCCTCTTACCTTTCCCATCCTCCCAACACTCCTCTATCACTCCTTTTGTGGGGTTGGTACCACTGCTGCCCTTCAAACAAATCCGATAGTTTGCTTTTGTGGAGGGGAAAATGGCTGGAAATGGCTGCACAGAGGCTAAATTCATCAATGCAGCTGTTAATAGCAATAGCATAGGGCTTTAGTTTATCATATGAGTTTATCTGCCATGAGGTGTTGAGGTCTCTGCATGTGTAGGTTACCGACTTACTGTAATCATCGGGTCTTTCTCGTCCTTATAAAAACCTGCTCTGTTTCGGCGAGTGTCTGTCTTCTTCTGTAGTCAAACCGCAAGATATCAAAATCTACCCAGATACAGCAATGCTGCTTTTTGATTGGCTGTTCAGTAGATATACTATATTTGCTTGGATTGCGCGTGGCACGCAGCGTCTGAACTCTCGGAGGAACTCAGTTGATTTCCACCTGTTACATTGTTACAGAGGTGCAACTTTGTGGACATCACCATGTTCATATAAATGCGTGAGAAAT